GAATATAGAGGAAATATCAAATCTATGTGTGGTTCAATGATCCCATGATAGAGAAAGAACTTATGCAAGCTTCGCCCAATTCTTTGACTGAGTAAATCTTCAGGAACATTGTTACAGTGATTATTCCAATATTCACAGCCCACTTGATCTCATCCTTTCAAAATACTAACCTGACTCTCTTCCTTCTTTTGGTAAGCTGGGTGTCTGAAACATGTGGAAACCCATCACCATGCTTACAAATATCCAAACCAAACTGAGAATTCTATTCGTCCCACCTACATATGAAAATTCCAGAGATGTTTATAATGTGCACTCTCTCCCTGGAGCAATGCATTCTGCTTACCTATTCTGCACAGGTTGGCAAGAGCCACGCTTGGGGCCCCAAAGGGTGAGTTGAGGTAATGCTGGATTTAGTAGTTAAAACCCCATAGCTTGCCATTGAGAACACTGTCTAGCAAGCTTTTCTGCTGCTTGTCCAGCTAGAACCATCCTACCCGTTAGGGTTTTTGCTTGCAGGGGTAACAGGAGCTGAGTGGGAAGAATCCTTGCCCCAGTGACTGGTCTGCCCTTCAAGTCCTGCTGATGAGCCAGGCTGGCTGTGCTGTCATTAGTAGTGCCCTGGAATACCTCGGACTCATCTGGCTCAGGAACAGGATTACCACTACAGAGAGTTGTCTCCTTTCCAACATTCTGTGATCTAACATGTCACCGTGGAGCCAATTCAGCTCCAAAAAGAACCTGCATACCTCCCCCACCCCAAGGAGAACAGTCATTTGACATCCGGCCAGCACAGATTTGACCCTCACTAGGTGGATGGTAGGTACCAGGAACTCCCTGTGCGCTTCTCAATGGGCAACACAGCTCAGCATGAATTGCATGAAAGCACTGCCACCATCGTCCTGTCCACCGCTCTGACGCGCATCCCTTCCTATTGAGCCAAAGTTCCACCAGTTGGAGGTGCGGAATTTAAGCAACAGCTGGTTATCTCTCAGCAAACCAATCAAGGTGGATTCCAAGCACTGGCTGTATCAAATCATGTTCACAAACTCAGACTCCAGTTAATACTTTCAAGCTGCTGTTGCCCCAAGATTCAAAGTTTCCTCATTAGCTATTTGATGGACATCTGCCTTCAATGTGGTGGGAGGACCTTTACAGGATAGCTTGTGACATGCCAGCTACCTTGAATTTCTTCAGGTCCAAGTCCAGTGTCACTTACTCAGCACTAACTGTTTAATCCAGGTCCTCATATGAGGGGCCTTGGTACATAGGAGTATCCACTGTGAAGCCAACTCTGCCTCCAGGGTGCTCAGCTCAGCGACAGGTCAGTGTAGGTCTCTACAGCCAACATTCTTAGTTCCTTTCAAATGTGTAAATAATTCCAGATATTGGTTCCATTTGTTTTTGATCATTCGGGTGTTTGGTACATGCAGCTAATGGTTATTATTGATTGTATCCAGGGGAATTCAGTTCAAGCTGAACCCAGATGATTGATCAAGTTTCAGTGTTGGATACATTTTTTTGATCAGCTTCTGATCCAGAGAGGAGTGACACTGTGTATGGAAGGCAGGAATGGCATTGAGTGTGACAAAGATTAGGGGGTCAGCCTGATTCAGTCCATAGCACTCTTGCCTCCGAGTCAGAATATCGTTGGTTCACGTCCTATGTCAGACTTTGAACTCACAATCTAGGCTAGAGGAATGCTGTATTGTGGGAGCTGCCATGCTTTAGTTGAGACAGTAACCAACAGTCTAACAACAACAACAACAAGATTCCATTTATTGAGCGCCTTTCACGTCGGGAGGACGTCTAAGCTGTTTAGGTGGACATTAAAAGATCTAATCTATAATGAAGTATTTTGGAATGATGCCACTCAAAAAGAGAAACGATCCCAATAAAATTGGATATTCACTTCATGGCAATTCGTGAGTCATTGCTGTGTGCAAATTGGCTGCTGCGTTCACTTACAAAATGCAGTCACTGCACTTTCCAGTAAATCCAGTGAAATACTTTAAGATGTTTTCCTGATTATTATTTATTATTAATAAAACAAGCTTTTTTCACTTAGACATTGTGGTATTTATAATAATAATTATAGCATTTCTGTTCCTTCAAATATTAATAAATCAAGTTTTTAAAAAATGTTCTTCCCATTGGCATAGGCCTTTTCCGCTCCTGTTCCCGGCCTCCTTATGTCCTTATGCTGTGTTGCCCCTTTCAGGACATGTGCACTGGTTGCCCTCTAGTACCTAGCCCAAGTGGCTATTGTGTGAGCCTCAGCAGTGGATGCTGGCATGCCACTCAGATGTAGTCGGCATCATAACTCAGTTCCTTCAGATGCTGCCACATGTGCATACAAGCATTGAAGGGTGCTGAAGAAGAACTAAAAGCAGAAAACCCAATTGGTTTATCCTCCCTAACCCTCTGTAAGACAAGGATCAAGTTAAACCCCCTGCCCCCCACCCAATGCAGCTCCAGCTGAAACCAGAGAACTCAGCAATGGCCAAGATTGGAACCAATGAGGTTTTGGTCCATAAGCTGCAGCTCTATCCATTGGACCATCTACACCCTCCAATGTGGTATTCCTTAACAAGATTCCTTCATAACAAATCCATGGCACACAAATGGTAACCAGAAGTCTGTTAGGCTGATCTGTGGGAATTCAGCTCCCACACAATATGCTTCCCAAGCAGAGTGGCCTTGGGTTACTAGGAAATTCTAACAGCTTTCCTTTATATGGCATCCCATCAAGAAATACCTCATTATTTCAAAATATTTTTTTAAAATTGCTGATTTTTAAAAATTGAACACTTGATCCAAATTATATTCTAGATACTTGAAAATTGAAGTGCTGAGATATTAAATCAATAAATATAGCCCTAGTTGCATTTATTTCAGGCAAATAATGAATTTAAATGAGTCGTTTTGGGAAACCTTGAACCTATTCGGGTTCCAATAGAACTTTTTCTAAATTGATGAAAATATACTGTTTAGTTAGATGGCCGTTGTTGCTATTGCAAGCAGCAAATCGTGTAATAGCATCTTATAAATATACTAACTGTGCTGCTCTCACTGGAAGGTGAGATCGGAGGCTCAGACTAGAAAGCTTTTTGCTGTGAAATATTGAAATATATTAGATTAATCCCTTACAAACACATCGACAGCTATGAAGCAAAATAAAACTGATAGCCTCAGACTTTTTATCATTTAGATACTTGGTTCATGTGCTGAAGGTTTTCATGGGAATGTGAGGGTTTGATCATTTCAAAGAAAAAAAAGTGAAAATGCGCTTTAATCTGTACAGTGATGGCTGCAATGGACAATTGTGTTTTACTTGTGAAATATGTCAAGGACAGTTTCGTTTTTCCTACGCATTTTTCTGGTAGTATACTTTGGTTCAGCTTTATTGCAGGTGATCCCATTGCATGATTGCAACAAAACCGCATTCAAACCCTTTGAAAAGAAAGTCGTAATCTCGACAAAACGAAGTCATGTCAGCAAAATATTTTAGTTTCGACAAAACAGTCCTCTTCAGTGTTTGCAACCCAATGCTTGTCTGGATTTGGACATGCATCACGTTGTGACGAAGGTCAGATTCATAAAGCATCCTCCACCCCCCCCCCCCAAAAAAAAAAACTTTGATTTTCACTTAGAAAACACATGGAGATGTTTACCTCAAGACCTGTGCATCAGTCAGTGGTGAGCCAGGTGTGAGCTGGTGTTGGTACCTGACCACCTTAAAGACTTAAGAGGTTGTTTGAATTCTCTGACAGCACACAAGTCAATGCAAACTAACTGGTTTGAGAGCCAAATCAAGGAGACTCCCTCTGTGTCTTACCGTCAGATCACCTCCAAGGTATTGACATGAGTTCTGCCAGAATTATTCCGATGTGAACCTGTGGAGGGAGGAGCCCCCCTCACGGTGGAGGATGGGATGCCCACTGCCCACAGGCTGAGCTCCGGCCAGTTGCTTCCTGTTGGGAACCTACTTTTTAACATTTGAAACTTTTTTTTTAAAATTAAAAAAAAAACACCTGACTCGAGGGTCAGATTACTGTCCGTTCAGTTATGCAACAAAAACAACATATTTATAGTTTTCTATCTATCTGTCTATCTGTCGGTCTTTTCTCTCTTGTCTCTCGAAAAAAAGACATCAGATGTGCTGTGCTGTTGGGTGTTGGGCTGCTCTGCACTCTCGTGTTTTGTGAGAGAGCTGTAAATCTCCCCATTGACGTGGGTTTTTCTGGTGTGGATCTGAACACCATCTTCTAACCCCCAACATTAACAGTCTGCAACACGTTATCTGCTGTCAGAGCATTTGAACTCCACACGTCCAGTCCCTGGTGTTGCTTTCGGTGAATAAAAGGATGGCTCTCACACTTGGTGGTGGTGGAGGTGGTGGAGGGGGAGGTGGGGTGTGGGGGTGGAGGTGGTGTCGATCGTAACAGTACTCGATTTCCCGAATACATCAGCTCCCAATTCCGGGTAAACCTGCGGCTATATCCCGGGAAACTGCGGGAAATACGAGTTGGACAAAGTGGTACAAAGACAGCGCTGATGTGAGCGCGTCGCGTCGCCGCCTCCGAACCCATCCGCCCAGTCGAGAGCTATTAATGGACACATTGCAGTGCTGCGATTCCAGGAGGGATACGGGTTCCCATCAGGAGATGTGTCATAGCTGCCGCCCGGCGCATCCCTCAGATCTGCTCTCAACAGTCTCCCTCTCGGGAGCACTTGATCGATATCGCAGAAGGTACATCGGGGTTTGACGTCAGGGCGATGTTTTGCGTGGCATTCGGTGCGTAAACACCGCTTTCCATTCGAAGCTCAAGAGATTCGCCACTTTCATCCCTCCGACAGCAGCGATCCGGTTATAAGCGCAATCCCCCGTCTCCCCGTCTCTCTGCGGCAGCGGCGACCCCGACTGCACACGGGCAGTGTCGGTGGCGGCTCCTCTCCCTCTCTCCCTCTCTCTCCTCTCCCTCTCTCCCTCTCCCTCTCTCCCTCTCCCTCTCTCTCCCTCTCTCTCTCCCGCCTTTGCTCTCAGCCCTCGGAATAATGCAACAGAGATCCCGTCTCCCGATCCGATCGGCTGCTCTGGCGCTGGTGGCGGCTCTCTGCACTGTGGGCACTGTCCGGGCGGATAACAAACAGTACGTGAACGAATGGGCAGTGGAGGTCGTTGGAGGGCCGGAGTTGGCGAGAACAATCGCCGAAGAACTGGGATATGATTTTGTGGGTCAGGTAAACACGTTTTGCTTCAATCTATACCGATGCATATAACACCGAAACCTCCACTCCTACAGGATCCGAGGGATGCGCGGAGCCGCTGACGTGCAGCGACTTGTGCTCTCAACATGTACCAGTGGAGAGGACTCGGATACTCCGCGAGTGTGTGAAATAAAGCACACGCTGCCTTCCTCCAGACGTGTGCGGTGCCCGCACCGAGATCCGTGCAAAGGGAGATTCCGATGTTCCCCGTTGCATTTATTTCCTTCTGGGGAAACGTAGCATCATTCCCACCAGATTCCCAGTTTCCTTTACCAGCCCTTTACCAGGGGTTTGGCAACATTGCACAAAGGATGACCACGGGCAGATAATGTAATAGCCACCAACACTGGCTGCAGCAGGCGATTCCAAGCAGTGGTGCGATTCGTCAGCGGTGTGTCGGTAGCAATGTTTTATTCTCAGACTGGGTGCAGACATTTATATTTCTGTGTGTTTATGCAAACATTTACCTGCGTGTGCATCTGCACCTCGTTTGATTTTTGGCGTCGAATTTCCATCCAAGAGTTTGCCGTTCGAGGCGGTTCAGTGTATTAATCTGTTGCATGAGTTTGTTGCAGGACAAAGCTGAGCTTCTGTAAACCTGAGTAATATTCTGTGCACAAACTAGTCAAGTGAGTGCGCGTGTAAATGATTGAGAAATATTAATGCAACTTAGCTCAAGCCCCCTCGCAAGTTATTGCCTCAAAATGTCCATAAAATTGCAAAGTAAAAGGCTGGACAATATGTGGACATATAAGGAGAACTGTTGTGCTTTTTTTTTGGGTGGGGGGGAATAAAAGGGCAGTTTCGGATTTAGGAGCTTCTAGCACTTGCCTACAAATACACAGTCACTACACTTTATGGTGAAACGTGTGAAGCACTTTGAGCCGTTTCAACGTGATAAGTCTATATCAAATGCAAGGATTATTAATAACATGTGTTATTCAGAATGATAGATTGTTGCAAATCAAAGCCTGACTGTTTGCAAACAGCTTAGAGACATGATGATGAAGATAAGAGTAGTTGTGCATATATGGTAGTTAAAGCTGTCATGTTATTTTACGACATGCAAGCAGTAGAGTGCATAAAAAGTGATAACTCGGTATTAATCTGTAAATAGTGCTAACCATGTGTAAAACCTATGTGTAAAAGAGAATTACAGGTGTCTTAGGTATGTAAGTGACAACCAATATTTTTTGGTTGTTAATTATTTATTGATGAGCACCTATAATTCCTTCTATTATGATAATATACTATTTATTTCATTTGATATAGTGCCTTATTGCATTATTGAGATGTCTCAAAGCACTTCACAGGATTTTACTGTAAGGTGCAGTGACTGTGTATTTTTGTTGGAGAACTGACTGCCAATTTGCACACAGCAATGTTCCACAAACAGCCATGAAGTGAATGATAAATTTTATTGAAAGGATTGTTGGCCAGGGCAACAAGAGATATTTACTTGCACATAGTTAGCACACCTACAGATTAGACCCCAGTGTTTCCTTTTTGTAAGTATATGGTTACCTTCCACAATCATTAATTTGATTTATTGAATTCATATTGGATCATGCTGGATTTCACATAGCTAGGAAATGTGAAATTAAATGAGATGATTTTTTTAAGGCTAAAATTGAAGGAAATCTGTCAGGCTGGCTCAGTTGGTTGCTCTCTAGCCTCTGAGTCAGAAGGTTATGGGTTCAAACCTCATGTCAGGACTTGGAACCCATATAGTCTATGCTGACAGTCCTTTGCAGTGGTGGGGTGTATTAATTCAATGAATGCATTATTGGAGGTGTCATCATTCAGATGGAACACTAAATAGGGACCTATCTACCTCAAAGGCAGACATTAAGGAGCCCATGACACAATTCAAAAGGTGATGAGTTACATTTCTCCTGGGTTCTGGCCAACAACCCTCCAAATAAAATTGATCATTAATTCCTTGTTGTTTTGTGAGACATTGCTGTACACATATTATTTGCTGCTTTAACCACAAAATACAAAGTCATACCACTTTACAGTATATCCCATGAAGAACTGTGAGACATCTCAATGACATACTATATCAAATGCAAGGCCTCCTTAATGCCTGCCTTTAAGGTAGATAGGTCCCTAATTTAATGTTCCATCTGAATGATGACACCTCCAACAATGTATTGTATTAATACACCCTCCATGGTCTTGCTCCCCCCTACCTAACCCTAACCCCTACCAACCTGCTCGCTCCCTCCACTCAACGGGCTCTGGCCTGCTTCACGTTCCCCGTATACCCACAAGTTATAATATTTTAGAATTCCCCATAGGAAAGAACTAAGCAAATGTACAGGAGGAGTAGGAATAACACTATGGCGAATGGAGATTAGCTTCCTCTGTCTAAACTCACCCCTCATACACTTGCCTTTGTCCATGAAGACATACATGCTCCTTCTTCATTTTCTTCATTCTTCTTCATTTTTTATTCTTTGTAAAATCCTGTAGCTTAGTGGTTAGAGCAATCGCCTTGCAAGCAAGAGACCTGTGTTTGATTCCCGGCAGGGCGAAACGTTTTCTTACTTTACCTAGCAGTAAATAGGAACTAGGTTGTTAGTCGATTGGCAGATCACTTTTCCGGGGGTAATAATTCCTTCAAAAAAATAATAATGAATTGGTCACTCAATCCACGACTGTTTGTGTGACACTGCTGTGCACAATTGGCTGCCGCATTTCACCCCCAAAATCTACAGTCATTTCACTTTACAGTATATTTTGTGAAGCGCTTTGAGACGTCTCGAAGACGTGATCAGGTGTTATATCAAATTCAAGTATTATTATTATTATATTGGGCATACATTGTGTTTAGAGTTCCACACTTTTCAGTAGTATTAATTGGTTCCATAAAGCAAGTAAACCACAATTGAAAATGTGTTGTATGTGAACATGGCTTCTGTTGATTAGGATAATAATTTTTCAGTTATAAATAATAATACTTTTATTGGATATTTATGGATACATCTCAAAGTGCTTCACACAATGATCCACTTTGACATGTGGTGGCAGCAAACATGGCCACTGATTTTTGCCAGCAAAATAGAGTATTACAAACAACAGTGAGATGAATGACCAATCTTTTTTTTGGTGAAATTGATTTGCAAAATTAGTTTCCACTTTGAGCTAGTGCCATGATATCTTTAACTTCCACTGAATCATCAGAACAGGCAGAGAAGGCATGAGTTTAATGTCTCAACCAAATAATGGAACATTAGGTGCTCAAATAAAAACCGAAGTCGCTGGGAACGCTTAACAGGTCAGGCAGCATCTATGGAGAAAGGAAAGTGAGTTAATGTTTCAGGTTGATGTCCTTTTGTCAGAACTGTTTTTATTTCAGATTTCCAGCATCTGCAGTATTTTGCCTTTTGATTATGTGTTCAAATTTTGGTGTGGGGCTTGAATGCACAATCTTCTGATTTGGAGTGGTATCAACTGAACTAAACAGGCACAAACATTCACTATATTTTGAAAGCAAATAAAAACATTTTTCATTGCATTTAGCTTTCTCCTATACTTTATTATTTTTCCATTTATATATTACTCCCAGATAAAAAAGGAAGCGTTCTACCTGTTTCTCTACTAGCACTAGTTTTCAGTTGGATGTGTGTGAACAAACCCAGGAGTAATCCATTCTTTCATTTTCTGTCTGAGGATAAAGTGTAAGGGATTCAATGCCATCCTTCAGTGAAGGCATGCCTATGATTTCTGTAGTATAGTAATTTGTTGTAGTATCAAGAAAGTATAGTCATGCATTCATATTGAATAATTTCTATGGTGTACCATGTTTCATAGCACAAATCATGAATCATAGGACATAAATATTCAGAAGACAGCTACATAATAATTTAGTGGAATGAGACAGAAATCAAAACTACATTATTATGGTATTAGATTTGTACACTCATAATGTTGGGTTGGTATACTCTGTATTTGGATTGTGTATTCATCACATTGGATCTGTGCACTCAAATAACAACTTCTATTTATTTAGTGCCTTTCTGTCCTGTGAGAACTCTGTTCTGGATGTAGATTATGTCAGAGTAGTTACTGGATTTATGTGAATCTCAAAAGCTCTTGAAATAACAAATTAATGTTCAATCCTGGTCTTTTAATCACCCACACCCTGAGGCTTTTGTTTTGTTGCGTTGAAGCCAGGTGTACAAATGTTTATAACTAGTCACAATAAATTAAATTGGAAAATGGTTTATTGCCCAGTTGTAGATGAGAACGTTGGATTAGCATCAGCAGAGCAATCCAGTCACTGTTCCAAGAATGTGAAATTATCTGAGCACAAGTGATGGCTTAAAGGGAATGAACTTGGTGTGTGTGTGTGTGTGTATGTGTGTGGAGATGGGGGGATCTAATTTGCAGTACAGATTCCTTAGTTATAATTCTGTCCTACAGGAACACTACTTTGGTGATAGATTATGTCAGAGTAAAGTTACTATGGATTTGCGTAATTTATTTCCTGCTACTGGAAGGAGTCCTCATTTGTGCCACTCGGATCTCTGATTTAGGAATAGGTTTAAAAATGCAGCGAATTAGACCCCAGTGACAATTATAGTACAGTATGTAGGATTCCTCATATTGTTGTAGAGAAATAGTGCAAAGTGCTTCCAAACAGCTGGTTGCATGAAATTAAGGTACAGAATTATATAGAACTTACAGCACTGAAACATGCCATTCACCCCAACTACTCTGTGTTGGTGTTCATACTCTACATGAGCCTCCTCGCCTCCTAATCCCCCCTCCCTAGCCTCACCTATATTCCTTGATTACCTGCTCCCTCATAAATCCATCAAGTTTCCTCTTTAATTCATTGATGCTTTCTGCTTCAACCACAGCTTCTGGCAGTGAGTAACACATTCTCACACTCTCTGTGTAAAGAAGTTCCCCCTAAACTCTCTATTAGATCTGCATGAGGCTATCTTATATCCATGCCATCTATTATGCACTCGCCAACAGGTAGAAAGTTTATTTTTGTTTATAAAGAAATCTGGGGATTTAAATTCACAAGACTCTAAAAGTAGCTGCACAGGTGAATAAGTCCAAAAAAAATATAATCTTTGCACTTGATATACTGCCGTACCAAGTCATCGAGACGCTTCACAGGATACACTGCAAAGTGGGTTGACTCTTTATTTTGTGGGCAAAAGTTACACATAAAACTGCCAGGCAGGTTAATTGAGGCCAGGACCTTGGAATTAATTTAAAAATCACTTAAATGTGGAGTCCTGTAGCTCAGTGGTTGGAGCACTCGCTTTGCAAGCGAGAGACCTGAGTTCAATTCCAGGCAGGGCGAAACCTTGGGCAAGTTTCCTTACTCCACACGCCTAATAATAATCCCTCCAAAAAAAAAAACTAAAAACAATAATTAAATTGGTCATTTTCAATCTACGACTGTTTGTGGGACATTGCTGTGCGCAATTGGCTGCCGCGTTCGCCCACAAATATACAGTCAATTCACTTTACAGTGTGTTCTGTGAAGCGCTTTGGGATGTCCTCCCGACGTGAAAAGCGCTATATCAAATGCAAGGATTATTATTATTATTATTATTATTAAAAACAGCTTGATGCCTAGACAGGAGAATGGTAGGTGGTTATTCTGCAAGGATGAGATCAGATAGGCCAAAGGGCTTTCTTCACCTAAACTAATCTCGTGCTCTTACGCCCAGAGGAATGAAATAATGGTTCTGTGTTCCTTCTACCTAAGTGAATTACTTCTCTATTGAACATCAGTTGAACTTCATCTACCATCTTCCCGTCCATTCTCTAAGCCTGTTTTTGTGTTCTTGGATCATTTTGCAGTCCTCCTCCTTATGTTAATATGAAGTCAAGAAAATGATAAGACAGAGCATATCACAGTATTTGAGATCAAATACCATTGTTAGGATCTGTGTTATCATTGTTCACTTTTAGATAATTATTTTCATCATGGATATTATTCTGCATTTCATACATGAGTTCATATTAATTATCATTTGGTCAGTGCTGAAAATAATCATCAAAAGATGAATGAGCACATTGCAGCACTAAGGCTTGGTAGAAAATCACTTGTTTATATGAGTGGAATCATTGATTCTGAAAGTAAATCATGTAAAAAAAGAAAATCTGTGTCTCAGACTCTAGCTCCGAAGTTAAGCTTCTACAAACTTCCTGCAAAGGGCGAAACCTTGGGCAAGTTTCCTTACTCCACACGCCTAATAATAATCTCTCCAAAACAAAACAATAATAAATTGGTCATTTTCAATCCACGACTGTTTGTGGGACACTGCTGTGTGCAACTGGTTGCCGCGTTTCACCCACAAAATATATGGTCAATTCACTTTGCAGTCTAATCTGTGAAGCGCTTTGAGATGTCGAGAAGACGTGAAAAGCGCTATATCAAATGCAAGGATTATTATTATTATTATTTTCCTCTTGTAATTATCCAGATTAGTGGTAGAGTCAGGATCAGTAGATTTCTGTAAACACTGATCTAGGTCCAGTAAGCTAGAAAAAATACTCTTGCGAAAACAAAATCATGATGGAAAAGCCCTTTTAATTCACCTACAAAATACACAGCGACTACACCTTTCCATAAATCCTGTGAAGCACTTTGAAATCTCCTCTGAATGCTAAATCAAATGTGAGGGGGGTGGCAGGGGGGACTTTAATCCTGTCAGATATGCTGATTATTAAAGAAGAAATCAGAGGTCCATGATTTCTCTGGTCTTAGCTCTACGACTTAACATTTAAGACTGTTAAGAATTTTGGAAAAGCTTAAAGTTTGTCTTAATTTGGAAATCAGTTTTCCGCTTCTCATTTTAAGGCCTCCCGACAAACATTGAAGCAGGCCATCAGTGTTATTTCCCCTAACTTTTAATGTAAGAAACAAAATGAGGGAAGAACAGGAAGAAAATAGAAATGAAATGGCCACTAGAGAAAGAAGGTGACAAGGCACCTCATTTTGAAACATCCCTAATTGTGGAGAAAGAAGTGCAGAAGTGGTCAGAAATGTTTGGCTCGCTAATCATCTATTTGCTCATAAGTAAGGCCTGGAAAGAGATAGCAAGGCAATTGCCTACAAAAAGTACAGTACATTTAACAATAAATCCTGTGAAGAGCTTGTATTATTCAAAGTTGTGCTTACCACTCAGTATATGACGAGGATGAGATCCTTCCATGGTAAAGAAAACAGCAAATTGAACCTTCTCAACACACTGAGTCAAGGCAAAGCTGCAGCACTCTGTTTGTACGCTTAGCATTTCCTTCAAGTAGATCAATATCCAAATATCCATGAGTATTGAGAGTACTGAAGAAAATTGTAGCTTTTGCACCTCAATTGGCTTCCAATCTCACTTAAGTGTGCTATCAATTGTAGCAATTTAATACATTTTTAAAAAATCTATTTTACCCATCTGCAAGACAAATTGTACCTTCCTCTCTTTAAGCAACAAGTAATCCTGTTACGAAATACAAATTAATCCCCATTGTTCCTTACTTACTTAAATGTTCCTCATATTGCTGTTGTGGGGAGAGCTTTTTTTTGACATGTGGTAAATGCCCTTTAAAGTATTTATGGAGGAGTTCTATTCTTTCATTAGACTTTCAATTCTGAGTCTAAGTTTGCAACAACTCACATTATTGCAGTTGCAACTTGCTACTCTTTCATAGCCTCTAGGTATTTCTGTAAGGAAGTCAAATAGGGACACATGTGCTGGGCTTGTGACTGCACATGTCACAGAGCGTTTATTCTGCAAGCCTGAGAAACCCAGAAGGTCATGATGAATATAAATATGTATGACTTTAATTTTAGAAAAAACATAATTTACATAAAGTGCAACAAACAATATTTTGAAAAAAGGCTATCTTCATTAATGTCCTCTGCCATAAACACCTTCTTTCAAAAAAAAAGAAATAGTTAGCGAGATAAATACAGGAAAGATATTAAACTAAGATATTATCCACCACTTCAAATCATATCCTGACAGTGATAAAAGTCCAAAAAGGATTTAAATAGATTAGGCTAGAATGAAAACAGTGTTTTGCTATTGTAGTTTTCCAATTGTTTATTAATTCAAAAGCTATTACTACACTTACATTTCTTGCTGACTTTATCTCCAGCAAATTTACTTGACATTTTGTTTCACCAGTCTATTCTTCTTAACTATTGAACCATGAATAACATCATTGCTGACAAGGATGACAGACTTATCACTTTGCTCCAGCACTCACACCAGTGATTGACTGTGAACGGTATTGTGGATTTGTAGTGACAAGTCAATGGAGTTAGCCAACTTCTGATAGGAAGTTTTAGTTTATGTCTCAATAAGGCTTCCATTCAATTTACCTATAATTGCTCTGTGACGTAAACTGTGCAAACCCATAAAATATAGTTCAGCATTATTGAGCAACAAAAGAAGCTCAGTATTTACCAAGATATGATTCATATAATTCCTTAATCAATAAATCATCTACAATGTTTAGAGGGTAATAATATCCCTAACTAGTTATATATCATATATTGAAATTCAGGAATTTTCAATTGCATATATGACATAGCAACCAAAAGGAGAATCAGTTATATGTTTCATGTCAGTCACACAATTACCAGTTAGAAATAAATCCCTTTGTGATTTGAGTGCTCCAGAAACCCAACATTGCACCTAGTCATAGCCTGTAAAACCATATTGTCTTAAAGTGTAAGATTGTGCAGAATTGTGTACAATTCTTAAATTCAGTCTTTATTTAGAAGTCAATTTTCTTAAAAAGAACTGAATTTAAAACTAAGACTTTTTTTGGTCAGCATGGTGCCTGACACATGCGGAAACCCATCACTATGCTTAAGCGTATCCAAACCAAACAGAAAATTCCATGCATCCCACCTACACACAGAAATTCCAGAGATAGATTGTTGGAATGGAATGTAAATACTTCCTGTAACTATGATGCAATTTCACTAACATAATAATAGTGATCCTTGCCTTTGATATGGTACTTTTCATGTCAGGAGGATGTCTCAAACCACCTCGCAGGAAATACTGTAAAGTGTCAAAATGTGTTCGAATAGTGCAATGGAATATTCAACATTCACATAAAGAGGCAGACAGGACCTTGGTTTAATGTCTCATTCAAAGGATGACACCCCCAGCACCCCATCAGAGTGTCAGCCTAGACTATGTGAGTTCAAAATCCTGCTGTGGAGCTTGATCCCACAATCTTCGGAATCAGAGGAAAGTGCAACCAATTGAGCTATACTAACATCTGATATCATGATATCAGAAAAAAGAGCAAAAACATCAAACCTCCGCACTTACTGTAAATTAATTTTGCCTCAATTTGTTAGCCACTTAAACCTTTTATTTCAAGCCACAAATGTTTGATCCTAGACAATAAGCAGTGATGACTTTGAGCTGCATTCATTGTCCATTGGAAAGTAGAATGAATTATGCTTTTAAATAAGATTTGCTTTTGTTGTTAAAGATGCTGCCTAATAATATGCTTCCACTTTATAGTTATAATTCCCTTTAACATTCATCTCCTTAGATTGGCGTACTTGAAGATCACTACCTACTGAGACATGGAAGTCATCCAAGAAGATCTCGAAGGAGTGCTGACGATTTCACCAAACAATTATCTGAAGATGACCGGGTATGTGTTACTTCTTAAAGTAACGAATAAGGCAAGACAGATGATTTATTCCAACAGTTAATATAATCATTGATTTGATATAGTGGCTTATGACACCATTGAAACATTTCAGAGTGCTTCACAGGGTGTACTGCAAAATGTAATGACTGTGCAATATGCAGTAGACCAAGGTGGTCCAACCTTTTTGCTGTCGCAGGCCAGATACCTTATTTCAGAAAGGTCCGCAGGCTGATTCCAGCGAGGGCCAGCTGGCAGCACCCAAGCCACATAGAAGCAGGAGTAAGCTATTCAGCTCCTCAAACCTGTTCCGCCATTTTATAAGATCATGGCTGATCTGTACCTCAAGTCCAGTTACCCACCCTTGCCCATATCCCTTAATACCCTGACCTACCAAATATTTATCAACCTCAGTCTTGAAAATGTGAATGGATCCAGCATCCACAGTCTTTTGGAGGAGAGAGATACAGATTTCCACTACCCTTTGGCTGAAAAACCGTCTCCTAATTTCACTCCTACATGGTCCAGCTCTAATTTTAAGATAATGCCCCCTTGTTCTGGATTCCCCTACCAGAGGAAATAGCTTCTCGGTATCTACCCTATTGAATCCGTTTATTATTTTATAAACCTCAATAAGATTTTTTTTTAAAAAAGTAGATTTATTCTAGAAGACATTTTAAAATGACTCAAGTTTACAGTCTAACTAATTACCAAGTCGAATATTCACACAAGAAATAAGGGACATTGTATGAAAAGGGAAATTTGAACCAGCAAGTTTATAAAAAAAAGCCATACAAAGAATTTACACAAATAGCAACAATTCTATGCAGGGATAATTCCAAAAATCAGTGATTTAATACTGCCCTATAGCTTGCCAGTCAAGGAAAGAAAACAAAAATTGGACTTGCTAAAGTACAATCAATAGGAACTTCAGTATAAGATTGCAGAACTTTCATTTTTAACTTTACCCCTCTCTATTTTCTTTAGGCTCATAGCACTATTTTCTACAAAAAGCCTGGTATAGGTTTCTATTCAGTGGTTTATGTTAAACATACATAACTATTTTACTGTAAGCCAGTTTCGTAAGTAGCTATCATGACAGACCTCACCCAAGAAGCTATATTGATCAATGGCTGGCAGCAAAATCTTGTACATCACTTCCAATGTTTAAATAATAATAACAATAATCCTTGCATTTGATATGCATTTGGTATCTGCATATTTGCATCCACTCTAAGACACTACCCTGATTGGAGGGCTTTATATAAGTGTAAGTTGTTGTTGATATAAGTGTTAACTGCCCCAACATTTGCCTGACAAGTGAACTGTAAACTGTCAGTTTCAACACGTGGAGATGGTTACATTGATTCCCAGATTGCCATTTTCTGCAAACTTTGTGCAATGCTAGTGTCAAAGACTAGACAGTCACTATTCATAATTGCTGTGGCAATACCCACATGAATGGATCAAGGAGTTGCTTCCCAGGTCAGTCGCCGTCTGTGCCCATTGAATTCAAGTCGATGAGAAAAGTTTTCAGCTTGCTTGCGTGTTACAATTAGCTGTACTTTGGCAAAGAACTGTTGATGGCCATCATATTTTCCCTGTTTTTCTAAGAGCAACATAAAGTGGAAGCTAAAACTTGATGGCATCATAACCCGATCTGAAGCACCTGTGAGGTTAATGTCTGTTGCCATAAAGACTATGTCCTCACCCTGCAAGGTCATCATCGACTTATGTTGATGCATAAGGTGTGGCGTTACAGCATCAAGAGAACCCTGCCATTTACATGAACCACCAGGGCAAAGACACGAGTATGGCCTGAACTCACAAAGTTGCTCGTGGTCCGCTTTCTCAGTGTGCGGTAGTGTGATTTCACAACCTGAAGAGAAATATTTACCCGGGAACAGTACAAAGTTGACCACTTTTTCCATAGCTAAATTACGAATGGAGCCCAATGGGCCCCTACAAGTGGAAGAACATGTCAGCTTAGTGCCACAATTGCTGCAGACGAGATGGCCGCTCTGACATTGAAGAATTGGTGGCAGTACATAGTCAATGCACATTAGATATTCACACAGACTGGCCAAGTCACTGTTGGAGGCTGTTGTTCTCGTCATTGCAGTGACTCTGTGAGAGGCTGTGCCCTCTGCTATACGTACAGTGACGACTCATTTCTGCACAAAAATGCAAACTACAAGCGAAGTGTTTGTGTGCGTGTTTGTGTTATTTTTTTAAAAAATGATCACAAATATGTGTGATGTGTCTTTCTCCCATTAACTCTCTTGCCTGAGGTGGAGAAAGTTGGTGGGACGGGAGAGCGAGTGTGCGCATGCCTTGGCCTCGGCCTCCCTCCCCTCTCCCTCACCCGCTTTAGTGTCTGGAGGAAACAACCACCAGCACTCGAGCCGCCAGCTCCAGACCATTCCCAACATTCCAACTTCCGGGGGGGAGTGGGGGTTGGGGGGAGAGTGGGCAGAGGGGGGAAGAGGGGGAAGGGAGGGGTGAGAGGGGGAAGAGGGAGGCTGAGAGAGGGGGAGAGGGGTTGCGGAGGGGGCAGATAGGAGCAGAGTGGGGGGAAGACATGAGCTACGGTGGCAGCAATCACTATCTGCGAAATGTGCTTGCCTTCCTCACAAACTGCATTATTTTCACACTCTGCACTGTGTCCTCCCAACCGTCAGCTCCTACCACTGCCATGGAAGGATGTTCACCAGGGAGAGAAGGAGTGGATGTTGGAAATGGTCTCAACCCAGATAAAATCTGCGTAGACAATTTGTGCACAACAATGTCCCACGAACAGCTATGAAGTGAATGACCAATTATATCTGAGGGATTGCTGGCCAAGTCACCAGGAGAAACTCCCTTCTCATTTGATTAGCGCCTTGGGATCTCTAACATCCATCTGAAAAGGCAAACGGTTCCTAGGTTTAACATCTCATCCAAAGGTAAATCACCTCCAACAACGCAGAGCATCCGGCTTTACAGAGCAGTCCCAATGCTGCTTTGGAGTGTCAGCCTAGACTATGAGTTCAAAGTCCCAATGAGCCTGCATTCTTCTAACTCAGATGTGAGACTGGTACCCCCTGAGCTAACCTGATTCAAATACAATTAAATATTCCAAATAAATTGACAAGCTAAAAGAAGCTAATGTAAAGCCAGATGTTCTGCAGAACTTCTGTCCATTTTAGAAGAAGCATTCCTTCCTTTTGGGTCCACAAGAGTTGATTGCATGTTACTCACAAATAGACCCTGATAAATCTCCATTTCACTTTTTTCAAATGTAATTTATAGAAATGCATATTAGAAGAATTGTGCATAAACCAAAAGCACGAATATATGGTTATATGTTTAACCATATTCTTTTGTGACCTTAAATCAGTCACCACCATGTTAACGCAGTCTGCATATGGTAAGAAGACATCACAATTATGACGTTATTACAATTATGAAGCATAACTGAAATACATGTTTATATTTCTCTGAAACCTTCAGAACACATATTAATAATAATAATCCTTGCATTTGATATAGCGCTTTTCACGTCCGGAGGACGTCCCAAAGCACTTCAATTACAATTTAGTTGGATATTTGACTGGGAAACATTAGCAGCAGCATTTACTTAAATAAAGAGAACATACATTATTGCTCCATTCAGATAAGAGAGGCTCTAGCTTCTGTGCTTGGCTTGTATTGGGTTAGCTGGTCTTGGATGAGGAAGTACAGATCTTATTACAATTGGCTTCAATGGGTCCTGGACAAAGAGCGGGGAACAAAAGTTGGGGTTTCTATTTCTAATGGCAACGCAGTAGCTATTGATGGAAAGTGCATGCATATAGACTTTGGATGAAAACAGAATCACGTACTTCTGTGATGATACCAGTAGTTGAACAACGTATTAACACTCATTCAGTCTTAAATACCAATCGTTTTATTTGTGTGAGTAACTTGGAAGGCTATTTCTGTCCTTGGAATTGTGCCACAGCGTGAGAGCAGACGTGGGGAGATCATCTGATGGAAAATGTGGAGGGGAAAATAACAAAGAAACTGTTTGCTGATTATTGATTAGTAGAAGTGCTTCATCAATCATCAGCAGCTTGACTCAGGTGGGAGCACCTTCACTTTTGGGTCAGAATGTTCTTGGTTCAAAGCCCATATCAGGACTCGTGCTCATAGCCAATGCTGATACTTCAATTTATTGTTGGAGGTACCATCTTTCTGGAGAGGTTAAACCGAGCTCCCGTCTGACTGTCATTTTATTTAATATCCCATCTGTATTTGAGTGTCCGCTTGGGCTATATGAGTTCAAAGCACAACATGGGGCTTGAACCCACAAGTTCCTGACTCAGTGGTGAGAGTGCTACAAAATGGGTCAGGGTAACTCCTTAACAATAATTACTATAAGATATTTTGAGATGTTTCAAAATGACAAAAATGCAAGTTTTTCTCCTATTAAAATGCTGTTTGTTAATGCAAAGAATCAAATTTAATTCCCTTTGTTATTTTCCACCTCTCTTGCACTAGTCCATGGCCACAGTACATATGGCAAAAATAATGAAGAAGCAAGATGAGGTCTAGCTACTGTACTCCCATAATATCCACAATAATGGTTTGTGTTCTTTACCAATAGGTTTCATGGGCAGAACAGCAATACGAAAAACAAAGGAGCAAACGATATCCCCGGAGACCGTGTAAAGATTGCACTGCAGAAACAATGTTTAATGATGTCATGTGGAATCAACAGTGGTATTTGGTATGTATTTTGATTATTACCAATAGAACAATGTAAAGTTCAAGATTTATTGCAAGTGACCCATTAAATAAGTGGGCAGAAGTCACCTACCTCAACACCAATCTTTTGTGTGGTAATACATAGGCACTTAGTCATCATTTTAGTATAGACTTGTCTCTTGTTCGACCCTCAACTATCTTTTCTCCTCCTATCTATGTCATGACCTGCTCTGCCTTCCCCCACCTCCACAACATTGCCTGACTCCGCTACTGCCTCACCCTCAGGCCGCAGAAACCCTCATACATGCATTCAGCACCTCAAGGCTCGACTATGGAAACTCCCTCCTTGTTGGAAACTCTCCCCTCCAGAAGCTGCAGATCATCCAGAACTCTGCAGCTCGTGTCCTCTCCCGCACCAGGCTCCGTGACCCCATCATGCCCACCCTCGCCCGGCTCCACTGGCTCCCAATCCCTCAGAGGATAGAATTCAAAATCCTTGGCCTCACTTTTAAGGCTCTCCATGGCCTTGCCCCCTCCTACATCACTGACCTGTCCGCTCCCTCTGCTCAGCAGGCTCCGGCCTGCTCCAGGTCTCTGATCCGCCCTACCATCAGCAGCCGGACTTTCAGCCTCTCTGGCCCACTCTTTGGAACTCCATCCCACAATCCCGTTGTCTTGCTCACTCTCTTGCCTCCTTCAAGGCATAACTCAAGCCCTCCTATTACTGTGCCTTCAGCCGCCCTCCTACCGCCCTCCCTCATCCTAACCATGCGCCCCCAGCCCCCCTGCCCCACGCTCGGGTTGTGATCCCTGACTGTTTGGAGCTTTCCTGACAAAAGCAAAGTACAGTGTTCTAACCCACTGTATCAACCAGAAGGGTTTCATTTTTATAGCACATATGATCAATGATGGGATGACTTAATTGTGTGTCTGATTATACTGTGCTCTCCTTTTTGTTAAAGTCCATTGATCAGATAACAGTTCCACTTTAATTAAGTAATTACATCACCATTCCTTGTATTATGAAAATGTAATGATTTCACTATCAACAAATAAATGCAAATTGCCCAGTACAGCTGAGTATAATCCAGCATATACATCGTTTGCCCCATTTAGACTGCTGGAAGTAAATTCAAATCCCTTCCAGGAGTAAAATGATGAGGAGTAGACAACGACATTTATATTTCTCACTCTAAAATCAGATTTGCAAAACATCGAGATGCAATTAAACTCCACTAACCAGTGCCGATAACAGTTTCTTTTTTAAAAAAGTTTAATGATTGAACCTGCGCAATCAACTCTTTAATACAGGACAACACTTCTGGATTGTCAGGACACTATTGACATAAGTTCCATGACATTATGTCCTATCATCACTTCCTCTATGCTGTGCTGTGGCAGAAAGCAGCATTGATGTCATTTCACAAAGGAAGTGAGATTAGCTGGGTTTCTTACTCACAGTGTTTTCTCTCCTTCTCTATAAAAGAACTTTGAGACTTCTCATGCATGATAGGTGCTATAAAACTGCAAGTTATTAATGTTGTTGTAATATAGGTAGGTGATTTTGTTCAGCAGTAACCAAAATAAAACAATAATAATCCCAGAAAGACATCCCAAAGTGCTTCACAGTTTATGGCAAACGCAGCAGCCAAATTTATGCACAGCAATGTCGCATGAATAGCCATGAAGTGAATGACTAATGATTTTTAATTTAGGGGATTGTTGACCAGGGCACCTGGAGAAATTCTCTTTTGAGTAAAAAGGATTTAATCTACTGATTTGGTGGCATCTTCACTATTCAGCATAGTACGTTAACACCTTGCAGCTTAAAAAATTGCACTTTTATTCAGAATGTAGTTTAATGCATAATCTGATAATAAATAATAATATAATAATAATCTTTGCATTTGATATAGCGCTTTTCACGTTTTCTAGACACAGAATACACTGCAAAGTGGATGAACCATGGCAGCCAATTGAGCACAGCAGTCTACTAAGTGACCATAGAACATAGCAATGTAAGAAAAGTTAAACAGTGCTCACTAATAACAAATTAATAAGCCATTTGTGGGACATTGCTAAGTGCAAACTGGCTGCCACGTTTGACTAAAAAAAACAATGAATACACTTTGGAGTAAATTCTGTGAAATGCTTTGAGAAATCCTTCTGCCGTGAAAGAATCATGGAATTATACAGCACAGAAGGAGGCCATTTGGCCCATCGTGTCTGTGCCAGCTCTTTGAAAAGAGCTATCCAATTCAATCCCATTCCCCTGCTCTCTCTCCCCATAGCCCTGCAAACTTGTCCTCCCCAAATAATTATCTACTCTCTTAAAAGTTGTTATCAAATCAGCTTCCACCACCTTTTCAGGCAATGCATACAACTCGCTGTGTGAAAAAAATTCTCCTCTGTTTCTTTTAACAACTTTTTTAAATCGGTGTCCTCGGGTTACTGACCCAACCCGCCAGTGGAAATAGTTTCTCCTTGTTCACCCTATCAAATCCTTCATAATTTTGAAAACTTCTATTAAGTTTCCACTTAACCTTCTCTGCTCCAAGGAGAATAATCCTAGCTTCTCTAGCCTTCCTCAAAACTGAAGTTTCTCATTCCTGGTATCATCCTGGTAAATCTCCTTTGCATCCCTTCAATGCCTTGACATTCTTCCTAAAGTGTGGTGCCCAGAACTGAACACAGTTCATCATAACTTGCTGACTTTTGTATTCTATGCCCCTGTCTATAAAGCCCAGTATCCCATATGCTTTTTTAACAGCTTTATTTACCTGACGTGACACCTTCAAAAATTTACTTATATGAACCCCCAGCTCCCTCTGTTCCTTCTCCCCCTTTAAGATTGTACCATCTTATATTGCCTCCCATCATTTTTCCTCCTAAAATGCATCACTTTGCATTTCTCCACATTAAACTTCATCTGCCACGTGTCTGCCCATTTTACCAGTAAGTCTATGTTCATTTGCAGTCTGCTACTATCCTCCTCACTGTTTACTACTTTTCCTAGCTTGGTATCATCTGCAAACTTGGAAATTGTACTCCCTATACTCAAATTCAGGTCATTTATATAGATCAAAAACAGCAGTGGTCCCAATAACAAATGAAAGGATTTTAATTTATTCTTATTTATTAAAGTGAACACCACCCAATTAACTTAAGGCTTTGTTTGGAGTACCTCAGCTTCTTTTATTCAAGACAGATGAACCACTTTACATATAATTAGGGCTCTCTTTGAATGCATCATACACCAGTAACCAGAAATTGCTGGTAACAGTGGAAACAAAGTTAGAATACTTTGTAGAATTGTTAAGAGCAATGTGTAATTCTTATAGGTGCGCCCTGGCCAGAGGTTTGTTAAGCATGACTCCTGGGGATCTAAATTGAAGTTTTCTGGTAAGAGTTAATAGCCATATCTGATAAGTTCAGATAATGTACCTCAGTGTGGTATTGGAAAAAATAGGATCATAGATTCCACAATGTAATAACAAGGTTCTTCTGACAGAGGAAAGCGATGTGATGATTCATACCTATTGGTAATTTCTGTGAAGAGGTACATTGGTATTCAGGAGAACTCTCAATAGCCACCCACACCTTTCAATCATTTCTCCAGTAATAACTTACTTCCTGCCCAAGGTTTTTGGCTTCTTAGGAAAACTCGTCTTTTCAGAGACAGCATTTGTGATTCAAAAAGTTATTACAGAACTCATATTGTATTTTAATTGTCTTCTTTCTGAAGCAAGACACAAGGACATCCTCATTCCTTCCCAAACTGGATCTTCATGTTATCCCAGTCTGGAAAAAGGGGATAACAGGAAAAGGAATTGTCCTCACTGTGCTCGATGATGGATTAGAATGGAACCATACGGATATTCAAGCTAATTATGTAAGTAAAACTAATAAGTACACTTTGAAATGTAAATGAATTAGCGTTTATAATAATAATAATCCTTACATTTAATATAGAACCACTGACATCAGGAGGAATCTCAAAGCACTTCAGGGGATATACTTTTAAATGTAGTGACTGGAAATAGCCTATTTTCACACAACAATGTTCATAAATAGCCACAAGGTGAATGGTCAGTTTTATCTATGCACTGTACTGCACTGGAGTGTTAACCTATTCTATATAAGTTCAAAATCATGACATACTTCTTGGATCCACAGTCTTTTGACTCAGAGGTGAAAGGGCTACTAACTGAGCCAGGCTGACACATGTTCTTTTCAAATTGAAATATGGTGAAATTTTTGATATGTCAAAATAGATTTGATGTGACATCGTATTGTGTCGGTTGTAAAATGTTGCAGATTTATCCCCTTATTTATTGTTAACTCAAATAACTGCAATGCCTTATGGAAAATAACAGATGGCTTAGAGATCACTTACTGACGCTGGTTACCAAACGTTCCCGTCCAATCTTTGCTGTTGAACTAAAGAGAATAGATTGTATTCCATTGTTGCAGATAAAACATTTGATCATCAATCTGTCACAATTTTTTTTAGCATTTGGTTAATGGTGCAGCTATTTGATCTGCAAACAATGTTTTAAGAATTTTCTTTTGGTCAGCTGGGTCAAGTGAACACACATCAACATGTTTAAAATTATCCAAACAAGACTGAATGTTGTACATGTGTATGCTACTTATGCATGGAAATTCCCGTTTGACTGATATGGAATGTGGGCTCTCTCTCTAGAGGGAATCACACTGCATATCAAATTTCAGAAATGATTAGGTGCTGGTTTGCAAACTACAGAGTGTGCATTGGGGTTACTGTTAGAGTTTAACCAGCTCAAATTAAAGCTTTGAGACATTTCAACATTATAAGTGGTATATCAAATATATAATTTTATTAAATTTGGAACACACTCTCTTGTCATAGAATCAGATAAGTTGATAGCTACTAGAACAACAATAAAATACTTGCTGAATAACTAAACATGCTGCAATAGAGGATCATCAAAAACTCTAATAGTCTAGCCCAAAAAATGGATACATAACCATGTTTGACAACTGGCTTAAATAATAATAATCCTTGGATTTTGTATAGCCCATTTCATGTCAGGAGGACATCCCAAAACATGTCTGTGTATTTGTAGACAAACACAACAGCCCAAGTGAGCATAGTAATATCCCACAAACAGCAATGAAATAAATGACTTATTTTGATTGAGGGATTGTTGGCCAGGACACCAGAAGAAACACCCTTCTCTTTTTGAATAGTGCCGTAGGATCTTTAATGTCCATTCAAACAGGCAGACAGAACCTCAGTTTAACATTTCATCCAAAGGACAACACCCCCCTCCTCCTCCCCCCCCACTCCCGTCCCCCTGCATTGGAGTGTCAACTTGGACTGTGTGAGTTTAAGTCTCGATGTCGGGCTTAAACCCACAACCTTCTGACTGAGAGGTGAGAGTGCTACCAAGTGAGCCAAGTTGTCACATTTGTCAAACTTGTTTTGACAAATTCAGTAATTCTCTTGGAATTATGATTGTCGATGGTAGGCTCCCATGATATGAAATTGTGGTTTCATTTTGAAATAAAGATTCCCAACCTGGGGAATGGTACATTTATTGTTGCACTTTAATAACCTGTTCCAACCCACTGCACTCTGCACTAGCTCCCAGGTGATGATTCATTCAACTCTAGGGACAGAGTTATATTACAACTGTGCATTGCAACATAAAGGGCAATGTAATATAGATTTAACTAGGAGTTTTATATTGAGTTTCTATAATGCAAGTAAAATTCGCTATTCTTATTCATTGAAAGCTTCAGATTGGTGGAAGTGCTAAAAAAAATTAGAGCACTGAATTTCATAGATGTCCTTATAATTCAAACATCCATCTGCTTTTCTTATATTGAATGAATCAAAAGGTCAATATCCTGAGATGAAAAGCTCAGTATTTCTCACCAGACTTCCTATTGCTTTTTAGTTATGGGATTACCAAGGAAAGCTGCATTATCAGAGGTTTCATCCTTCAGATGAGATGAATTCGTGTATTTCCACATACAAAATTCTCAATTTTTATTAAGTGTTTAATTGTCATGTAACTTTCAACAATGTAAACCACAGTAAATGCAGAATCTAACCTATACGAATAAGATATTGAATGATTTTAATGATTTCCCCTATCATGCACTGTACCATATTATGTGTAGGTTGGACCCCCAACTTGATCTCACATAAAAGAGTTGTTTGTCACAAGCATAAATATTTGACAAGCACATTGTTCAAGGATCAATGCAGTGATTTTATAAGATTGGCATGTCTGACAGTATCAAATGTCAGCACTCAGCAATATTTACCATTGTTGTTCACATTTGTAGTGAAAACAATGTTGTAAAATAATTTGGGTCTAATTTGTGATATTTTTAATTACGTAGAATTATGGAAACAGGCTATTTGGTCCAACTAGTCCGTATCAGTGTTTATACTTCACGTGAGCCTCCACCCATCCTAATCCCCTCTCCTAAACCCCCTCTAAGCAATTTTGCCTCATGCATGCATCAATTTTTTTCTTAAATGGTTTGATGCATTTGGATAGCTCACCACCTACTGTGTAAAGAAGTTCCCCCTAAATTCACTTTTATCTTATATTTGTGCCTCTTTGTTTTGGACTCACCAACAAATATGAACACCCTATTAACAACCATCTTATTGAATTCCATCAGAATTTTAAACACCTCTATCTATATAAACCCTTCAAAATCATCTGAACTTCAGAGAGAAAAGCTCCAACCTGACCAATCTTTCTTGATAGCCATATCTATTTGTCTCTGGTAAAATCCTTGTACATCTATTATGAACTCTCTCCAATGCTACAATATCTTTGGATTCCCCAGTAAGGAATTTGAGTCACACAAATGGACATAAGAACATAAGAATTTGCTAGACGAAAGAAGACCAAGGTCCATCTAGTTCACCGTCCACCATTCTGGCAGTCACTTGGAGTCCTGTGGAGTCCTATAGCTCAGTGGTTAGAGCACTCGCCTTGCAAGCGAGACACCTGGGTTCAATTCCAGGCAGGTCGAAATCTTGGGCAAGTTTCCTTACTCCACACGCCTAATAATAATCCCTCCAAAAAACAAAACAATAATAAATTGGTCATTTTCAATCCACGACTGTTTGTGGGACACTGCTGTGTGCAATTAGCTGCCGTGTTTCGCCCACAAATAAACAGTCAATTCACTTTACAGCATATTCTGTGAAGCACTTTGAGACGTCTAGAAGACATGAAAAGCGCTATATCAAATGCAAGGATCATTATTATTATTATTACTTGACATGTTGTGTCCCAAACTATATACCGTACCGCAAGATATTCTTTTCTTGAGGGGATGGAGGGACTGGACTACGAGGATTGATGAGATAAACTGGGCATGTTCACACTGGAGAAGAGACGGTTGAGGGGTGAGATTCTTAGAGATTACAGTCTTTAAGATTCTGAAGGGAATAGATAAAGTAGACCATGATAAACTGTTTTATCATGGTAGCAGAAATCCACCTAATTCATTCTTGAAACAAACAACATTTTCTGCTTACACTGTCTCCCTAGAGAGCCTGTTCCATAAGTTTACTACTTGCTCACTGAAGTAGTTTTTCCTCAGATTTGTTCTGAATTTACCCCCCTTCAATCACAGGTGTGTCTTCTGGTTCTACTGTTCAGTACAAGACAAAACAGCTTGCCATGGTTTACTTTAACTATTCCCTTCAGAATCTTAAAGGCTGTAGTCATATCGCCCCTCAACTTTCTCTTCTCCAGTGTGAACATGACCAGTTTATCTAATCGCTCCTCGTAGTCCAGTCTTTCCATCCCCTCAATCATTTTAGTTGCCCTCCTCTGTATCTTCTCAATCGCTGCAATATCTTTTTTATATTGCATTGACCAGAACTGCACACAGTTCCAAGAGTGGTCGCACCAGTGATTTATAATGTGGCAGGATTACCCTACTATTTCTTTCAATATTGCACTTTAATGGAGACTTTTGGTAACCAGGATATGAAACAGATCATCAACAGGAAATCTGCTCTCGTAAAATCTATTTCTGCGACAGAGTTCCCATAGGTCGATGAAAATTCTAACTGAATTTCTTATTAAGGAATCCTGCATTTTAGGCCCCAATTATTATATCAAGGATCCAGTGTTATATTTCTGTGCACAATTATTTTCTCTTTCTGCCTCATGGAGGTCTGTTTTTAAATCCATGTTTCATTTGTTCCAAAATCCATTCATGTGGAAATTCAACATTCATGGTACTGTATATAATCAAATTGGATCTAAAGTAGGTACAATCTGCTTCCTAATAAATGCTTTAATTTCTTCACTGTGCAGAGAAAATGGATTCTCCATTTGTTGTCTTTTCAGTAATTATTTTCCATCCTGAAGTTGTTTTACTTCTTTGTTTGTCCTTTAGTTGTCAGCCTTGTCTCTTGGTTGAAAGATCAGTGGACCTGTGGAACTGCAAATGGCAAAATGTATTCTAATCTTTCAAAAATGGAGAGGAGGCACGAAAGTGGAGGAGAAAATTGGTGTCAATATCTGATTTCCAATAATTCTGACATTCTATGAAAACCCAAAACAAAAATAACATATCAGAGAAAAATCATGAGAAAATATATTACAACATGCCCCATTACTCAAATTGTTTCCTTCTACACTTTACTTTCATAGGATCCAGAAGCAAGTTTTGATTTTAATGACAATGATCCTGATCCATTTCCAAGATATGACCCAACCAATGAAAACAGGTAAGTCTGCTCAAATAACTCAAAGCAAAAAGCATTCAAATGTTTCCTCATGCCCAGGGTTGGGCTGGCAAATTCCCTTTTCCTGAAGAGGTTACTATTACGTTACCTTCTGAAATTGAACTCAGGATAACTCTTCTGAAGTATTGTATTTTTCGATACTTCATAATAGTTAGAACCATAGAATCATACAGATTTCGAGAAAATAAGGAAGCCATATTCACCCCAGCTTGCCTGTGACAGCCCTCTGAAAGCTGTCCATTTAGAATTACACAACACAGAAGGAGGCCATTCGGCCCACCGTGACTATGCGGGCTCATTGCTATCCAATTCAATCCCACTCCCCTTGCTCTCTCCCCAAAGCCCTGCAAACTTGTACTCCCCAAATATTTATCTACTTCTCTCTTAAAAGAGATTGAATCGGCTTCCACCACCCTCTCAGGCAATGCATTCCAGATCCAAACAACTCGCTGTGTGAAAACTTCTCTTCACCTCCCCTCTGTTTTTTTTTAGCAACTATTTTAAATTGGTGCCCTCGGGTTACTGACCCACCAGTCAGTGGAAATAGTTTCTCCTTGTTCACCCTATCAATTCCCCTCATAATTTTGAAAAGTTCTATTAAGTCTCATCTTAACCTTCTCTGCTCCAAGGAGAATACAAAAAGAATAATAAATTGGTCATTTTCAATCTACGACTGTTTGTGGGACATTGCTTGCGCAATTGGCTGCCGCGTTCACCCACAAATATACAGTCAATTCACTTTACAGTGTGATCTGTGAAGCGCTTTGGGACGTCCTCCCAACGTGAAAAGCACTATATCAAATGCAACGATTGTTATTATTATTATTATTATTAATAATCCTAGCTTCTCTAGCCTTCCTCATAACTGAAGTCCCTCATTCCTGGTACCATCCTGGTAAATCTCCTTTGACTCTCTCCAATGCCTTAACATCCTTCCCAAAGTGTGGGGCCCAGAACTGAACAGTACTCCAGCTGAGGCCTAACCAGTGTTTTATAAAGGTTCATCATAACTTGCTGACTTTTGTATTCTTTGCTCCTAGTTAAAAAGCCTAGTATCCCGTATGCTTTTTAACAGCTTTATCTTCCTGTCCTGCCACCTTCACAGATTTTCTTATCTGAACCCCCAGGTCTCTCTGTTCTTTCTCCCCTTTTAAGATTGTACCATCAGCTTATATTGCCTCTCCTCATTCTTCCTCCCAAAATGTATCACTTCGCATTTCTCCACATTAAACTTCATCTGCCACGTGTCTGCCCATTTTGTCAGTCTGTCTATGTCTATATCATTAGTATACCATGTGTATCCAAAAAAGTCATTATTAATCTCAATGCTAAATTTTATGTAAATATCCACCAGCACAGTATTGTAGGGGAAGGCTTTTTATAATGTAATTTAAATATAACACATCCCTTGAGCCTTTCCAGAAGTAGTTATTATCACAGAACGGTGACAACTCCTAATCTGTTTTTTCACAGGCATGGTACTAGGTGTGCAGGAGAAATTGCAATGCAAGCAAATAACAATAAATGTGGTGTTGGAGTGGCCTACAATTCAAAAGTTGGAGGTATTGTACCATTAGCTGAGCAAGGGCTTTTACAATTTACTACAGTATTGGGGAATATATTACAATTTTAAGAAGCCGGAGATTCACATTTACTTTTGTTACATGTTGCTCCCCCCAAACACCCAAATTCAGATAAAATTAGAGAATGCATAGCATTCAAAGAGACTTGATGAGCTAAATAGCCTCTGCTGTCATTTCTATGATTTTAAATATGTTAACTGATTTCAAAATACAATGCATGGGAAAAAGAGTGACTGGAGAGGAGAGGAATGAACAAAGGGTAAATGGACAGCTTTTCACAATTTCCCACGATTTTCGATTTTGCAGATCAAGAAGAAGAGTAAACTTTGGTCTTTACGTTTTCAATGTTCGTTTTTAAAACGCTGTCCAATAAATCAATTAGCCAAGGATTTTTTTGGGAGCATTGATGATACAAAGAGATTTATTTAACCAATTTGCAATACCGTTAAATGGATTGCCTTATTTGTTTTGGACACTTTTCTGCAAGGATTCATCAGTATATTATATTTCCATCAATAGAGACTGTACACCTTTCTGAAAGGAAAAATATGCCATGCCTCCTGTTGTTACCTTGTGAGTCCTCTCATTATATTTAGAGGGCAGAATGTTCTAATAGGAGAATGTTACGGGGCCTTTGGGGCCTAGTTATCGAATTCAATTTAAAGACAGTTTTTTGAATTCCTAGTTTGACTCATCCACTCGTATATTGGCTATCTCTGCAAACTGCTTTGTGAGTCTGAAGGCTGACGCCACGTTAGGGACCAGCCAATATAATAGGCCCCTTTTCCACAGTATAAAGTAGATGAGCTAAACACCAAATACTGCAGATGCTGGAATCTGAAACAAAAACAGAGAGGGCTGGAAAAACTCAGCAGGTCAGACAGCATCTATAGAGAAAGGAAAGTGAGTCAACGTACCTTTCTCTATAGATGAAAAGCTGTCCGTTTACTCTTCCTCTTGATGTGCAAAATTGAAAGTCGTGGGCAGTTGTGAAAAGCTGTCCGTTTACAATTTGTTCATTCCTCTCCTCTCCAGTCACTCTTTCTCCCATGCAGTTCTGACGAAGGGTCGTGGACCCGAAACGTTGACTCACTTTCCTTTCTCTATAGATGCTGCCTGACCTGCAGCATCTATAGAGAGTTTTCCCAGCCCTCTCTGTTTTTGTTGTTGAAGTAGATGAGCTACCTGGCATGGGCACAGTCACCCAACAAAATTATGGAATCATAAAACTTACAGGAGAGGAGGTGGTGTCTCAACCCATTGAGCCTAAATGGTGCTGGCTCCTCCACTAGAGCTGCCTACTCCAACCCCAATGCCTTTCTTGTTCCCTGCAACCTTTTATATATTTCCCCATCAAATATTCAATTTCAACAGCAACAACAATAACAGAATTATATTTGTGTAGCGCCTTTGATGTTGGGAGGATGTCCCAAGGTGCTGGACAGTCAGAGTTTTCTTTTAAGTGCTGTTTGGTTTCAGCCTCAAAGCCTCCTTGTAGCAAAGTGTTCCTTGTTCCAGTGTTAAAACATTTCCTCTAACCTCCTCCTTAATGATTCCAGTGATAACCCTTGGGTAACCTCTCCTTCTTGCTAAGCAATGGGAATAATATTTCATTATCTCTAATTGTCTCAGAATTTTGAATACCTCTATTAGATCACCCTTTAGCCATCATTCAAATGGAAGTAACCTAATCTTTTGAGGCTGTCCTCATAACAATACCCCTCTTTTGTGGTGTCATACAAATGTTATCACTCTAAGGCCTGCTCTGAACCACAGATCTGCCTGACACTTTGGGCAATTTGCCACCGGCAGAGAGAGATTTCGCTGACTGAGCTGCTCGAAAGGGTTGCTGATTATCACTGATGAATGTTTACCTCTGGCTAAACAACAATAAGGGCAGTAGGTGCTCGGCTGTGATGAACTCCATTGTCAAACTTAGCTGCCAACTATCATTTTCCAGGCTCACACTTTAGGACCAGTTACTTGGATGAGATACCAGAGTCAGAGCTTTGGAAAGGGAAATGGAAATGAGATGGTTCCTTCGATAAAGAGGAAAAGTGGAGAAAAATGGGAGGGGAAGAAATACTCAAAACTATTAACAAAACGCAAAATACTGCAGATGCTGGAAATCTGAAACAAAAACAGAAGTCGCTGGGAACACTCAGAAGGTCCTTTCTATGGAGAAAGGAAAGTGAGTCAGAACTGGGACATGTTGGGAGGGAGAGGTTTTTAAGGGCTAACAGTGAGGCGGGAGGCAGGGCAAAGAAGTCAAAGGAGAAAATAGGGTAGAGGACAGGGGATGGTGGGTTAAAGAGGTGTTAATGATACAAAACAAAGTGGGGATTGCAACAAAACAGGGAATTACAGGCATTAATACTGCAGAACAAAGGGGGTGGGAAACAAAACAGGCAGACCAGAGAGAGAAAAGGTGTGTCTGGGACCTGGATGATGTGGTAATGGTCACAGAAGAGGAGGAGGGGGAAGGTGAGCTGTTATGGTCTGAAATTGTTGAAATCAATATTGAAGCCAGAGGGCTGTAAGGTCCCTAGCAGATAAATGAAGTGCTGTTCCTCGAGCTTGTCCTGTGGCTCATTGGAACAGTGTAACAGACCATGGATGGAGAGGTCAGAGTGCGAGTGGGAGGGAGAGTTGAAGTTGCAAGAAACCGGAAGCTCAGGGTTGTGCTTGTGGACAGAACGGAGTTGTGCGGCAAATCGGTCACCCAATCTGTGTTTCGTCTCCCCAGTGTAGAGGAGACCACATTGTGAGCAGCGAATGCAGTCAACTACATTGGTGGTAATACACCAAATCACTAAATCACTGTCTCACTTGAAATCTGTGTTTGGGGCCTTGGACAGTGGTATGGGAGGAGGTGAAAGGGCAGGTATTGCATCTCCTGCGCTGGCATGGGAAGGTGCCAGGGAGAGGAGAGCAAGTGTTGGTGATGATGGAGGAATGAACCAAGGAGTCATGGAGGGAACGGTTCCTTCAGAATACTGAGAAGGGAGGGGAGGGAAAGGTATGTTTAGTGGTTGGATTATGCTGGAAGTGCAGAAAATGCTGGAGAATTATTTGTTGGATGTTGAGGCTGGTGGGGTGGAAGGTGAGGACTAGGGGTACTCTAATGGGAAGAAGGGGAATGGGTGAGGGCAGAGGTGCAGGAAATAGGGTGGACATGGTCAAGGGCCCTGCCTACCACAGTGGATTGGAATCCTCGGTTGAGGAAAAAGGAAGACATTTCAGTGCTCTGGTGTGGAAGGTGGCATTGTCAGAGCAGATGCAGCGGAGGTGGAGGAACTGGGAAAAGGGAATGGAGTCTTTACAGGAGGTGAGGTGGGAGCAGGTGTAGTCCAGGTAACTGTGGAAGTTGGTGAGCTTGTAAGAGACATCTGTTGATAATCTATGCCCTGAGATGGAAATGGTGAAGTCGAGGAAGGGAAGGGAAGAGTCGGAAATGGACCATGTGAATGTTATGGAGGGGTGGAAGGTGGAAACAAAATTGGTGAATTTTTCCAGCTCACTGCGAGAGCAGGAAGTAGCCCCAACGTCAAAGTATCTGAGGAACAGGTCAGGGAGCCAACCTGAGGAGGCCCGGAAAAAGAGTGTTCCAGGTGGCCAACAAACAGGCAGGCATAGCTGGGAGACATGCGGGTTCCCATAGTGACACCTTTTACTTGGAGGAAGTGGTTAGGGTTGAAGGTGAAGTTGTTCAATATCAGAACAAGTTCAGCCAGGCGGTGGAGGGTGGTGGTGGATGGAGACTGGTTAGGCCGCTGTTCGAGGTGGAAGCAAAAGGGCCTGCAGGCCGTCCTTATGGAGGATGGAGGTGCAGAGGAGCTGAACGCCATTGTTAATAGAAGACGGTCAGGGCCAGGGAACTTGAAATTACTGAAGTGGCGGAGGGTGTCAGAAGAGTCATGGTAATAGGTTGGTAGGGCCTAGACAAGAGGAGCAAAAATGGAGTCCAGATATCAGTTTGGTTGGTCAGCAACAGGTTGAAACAATAGGTATCCCGGGACAGTCCTGTTTGTGGATCTTGGGGAGGAGGTAGAGGCGAGCTCTGTGTGGCTGGGGGGCTATGAGGTTGGAGTCTGTGGGAGGAAGCTGCCCAGAAGAGATGAGGTCATTGACTGAGTCAAAACTATTACCGGATTACTGTATACATATTTCATATACAAACAGCTTGTAATATCAAGAAAATTGCCACTTTTTAGTTTTTTTTAAATCTATGAAATATGGAATTAAACATCAGCACGGTATCTTTTCTGAAGATCTCATTGACTCTACTTGCCCAGGTGATCAGATAATTCTAGAATGATTGAGGAAACAAAGCAGGATAAGTCCAAGGGAGCATCAGAAAGTTGCAAATATATGAGTGGATTAATTCTGGTTGAAAAGGATAAAGTTGATCCTGCCTGGATCATTTAATATAGTGTGACAACAACTGTTCAGTGAATCCATTTGTCACCATTTTGTACATTTGTTCAGTTTCAGTGTTGTTGAATGCCCTTTGTAGCTTGTTCACTTTCAGAATGGCTATCACTTTCAGCTGCACCCAAGGTCACACCTACCGAGTCCCAGTGGTGTGTGCTGATTTCTACTAGGTGCAAAGGATAGGCCAGACTGGCAGAACCGACACAACATCTAAAGGGGGTCAATCTACAATCTATTGATGTTATTGACATCTTCACTATTATAACATAATATTATAATAATAATAATCCTTGCATTTAATATAGTGCCTTATCACATCTTCGAGACGTCTCAAACGCTTCACAGAATATACTGTAAAGTGAATTGACTGTATATTTTGTGGGCGAAACGCGACAGCCAATTGTGCACAGCAGTGTCCCACAAACAGCGTGGATTGAAGTGACCAAATTATTATTATTAAATATAAAAGAAAAACTGCAACTTCACAGCAGGCAATGTGATTTTGAAAGAGAAAAATAGCTTATTGCTTTAGGTTTCAGTGAAAGGAAATTAAATCCATAAAATACACTGGCATTACACTGTACAATAAATCCTGTGAAAGCGCTTTGAGACACCCATCTAATGTTAAAGGCACTATATGAAATGGAAGGTTTATTATTTTTAATCCGGTTTCTGTTTTTGCAGCTGGTGGAGCAGTGTTTAGAGGAGTCATTGCACCCTATGTACTGCCTGTGCTGCTGTACGAACACGTGACATTTTATTGATTTCTTTTTAGCCACATGAAATATAGTTCCTGTTCAAATGCCTTTCAATACCGTATATGCAGCATTATTAGCCCAACCAATTAAATGTTGCTGCTTCTTTGTGTTATTATTGCTTACAACAGTGATTACAGTGGTAATTCATTACAATTATATCTGTAACCAGGAAGGGAAACCAAGTTAGACCATGTCTTGTGCATTACTCTGTGCACTTAGTCATTCATTTTCATAGTAAGAACTAAATGAGGGTGATTTCAGCATTTTTCTGAGATTTGGTCTTTTTGTAGGATTCAGTAGCCTCAGGCTGATCAGATTGGCATTTTGCTATTGGTGTTGAGTAGTTGAACATAACATAAGAACATATGAAGTGCTGGACGAAAAAAGACCAAGGTCCATTTAGTTCCCCTTCCAGCTTCCTTGCAGTTGCATGCACATATGTCCCAAACAACTTATGTGCTATATCCCATAATGTTATTTCCTAAAAGAAAACTATCTAATCCGTAACAAAACAGAAGTTGCTGGGAACAGTCAGCAGGTCAGGCAGCATCTATGGAGAAAGGAAAGTGAGTCAACGTTTTGGGTCTCCAACCCTTCGTCAGAACGTTCTGACGAAGGGTCGTGGACCCAACACGTTGACTCACTTTCCTTTCTCCAAAGATGCTGCCTGACCTGCTGACTGTTCCCAGTAACTTCTGTTTCATTCTAGATTTCCAGCATCTGCAGTATTTTGCATTTGACTATCTAATCTGTGTTTGAAAGAATCAAACTTCCTGCTTCAACCTACAGGTTCACTGTTCAGTCACTGAAATAGTGTTTGCGTAGATTTGTTCTGAGTTTCCCCCCCTTCAATGGCAGGATGTTCTGGTTTTACTATTCTGGACAAGTTGATTGCTTGATATTGCTGCCTGTCATGATCTATATTGTCTTGCCCCTTTAAAATCTTAAAGACAGCAATCACGTCACCTCTCAATCTTCCCTTTTCCAGTGTGAACATGCCCAAATTACTTAGTCGCTCCTCATAGTCCATTCCCTCCATTCCCTCAATTATTTCTGGTTGCCCTCCTCTGTATCTTCTCAATTTCTCCACTATCCTTTTTGTACTGCAGTGACCAAAACAGTACACAGTAATCTGTGTATAGATGTTACATCCCCTTTTGGCTTTTACAAACTGAGTCATAAAACAGTCTTCCTTTAACTCTAGAAACCCCTTCCCTATCTTACCAGTAGACACATTATTATCCCAATCAATTTCGGGTAAGTTAAAATCTCCAACTACTATGGTTGGTCCCTTACTACACGTCTTCCTTACCTCATTCCACAGTTCCAGATCAAGGCTTTCACCCCAGCTTGGGGGTCTATAGCAGAATAGGAAAAGCAAGGTGTAAACGGTGGTTTGCAGCAGATATAGTGCTTCAGTATATAAACCGTGTCTCTTGATGAGTAATCCCACTACATTCACCAAAATGATACCAGGGCTTAAACGGTTAAATTATGAGTACAAATTGCATAAACCTGGTCTGTATTCCCTTGAATTTAGAAGGTTGAGGGTGGATCTGATCGAGCTGTTTAAAATGAAAACGGGATTTGATAGGGTAGATACAGAGAAGCTCTGGTGGGGGAATTCAGAACCAGGGGAAATAATCTTAAAATTAGAGCTAGGTCATTTAGGAGTGATATCAGGAAGCATTTTTTGACACAAAGGGTTGTGAAAATCTGGAACTCTCTCCACCAAAGATTGTGGATGCTGAATCCATTCAAATTTTCAAGACTGAGGTGGATATCAAGAAATATGGGGCAAAGGCAGATAATTGAAATTGAGGTACACATCAGGCATGATCTAATAGAATGGCAGAACCAGCTGAATGTTCCTAAGTTCCTAAGTTCGTACATCATCGCAACTTTAACTCAGCTGCAGTGCCACTTCCGGTTGGAGCTCTCAAGATTTGGTACAGCATCATGCAGGACATGCACTTGATCTCAGGGGTACTTTTTTTTAGTGTGAGACAACATTTACTTATTTTTAATATGTAATTGTCACTATCACATCTGGGTTGGAAGATAATGGATTTAAGACCTACATTGGAATTCTGAGATTTGGGCCCAGTCTGACATTCCAGTGCAATGAGAGTGCTGCCTTATTGATGGTATAATTTTTTATCTGAGATGTTAAATCAAGGAACTACCTTCCTATTCAGGTGGACATTAAAGATTGCATGGCACTTTTTAGAAACAAAAGGAGTGTCTCCCAGTATCCTGGCCAAGAATTCTCCAGATAAAATTGATCATTCATTTTATGGTGTTTGTGGGACATTGCTGTGTGCACAATAGCTGCAACATTTGACTACAAAGGCACACACTTTAGAATAATTCCATGCAAAGCGCTTTGAGACATTTCAATGTTATAAGCACTATATCAAAAGCAAGGATTATTTTTTATGATGATATATTTCTCATATTACTGTGTTTCAGTATTGTAGCTTGATGTCAGAGGAGTGACTGATGCCATCAGCTTACTAATTCAGTATCCATACTTTCAATTAGGGATCAGAATGCTGGATGGCATGGTAACAGACGCAATCGAAGCCAGTTCAATTGGGTTCAACCCACAGCATGTTGATATTTATAGTGCAAGCTGGGGTCCGAATGACGATGGGAAAACAGTGGAAGGCCCTGGCAGGCTTGCACAAAGGGCATTTGAATACGGCATTCAGAAGGTGAGTGGGTTGTTTCTTGCATCTTCTATACGTAAAGCAATGATGAACAACCTGATTTAAAACTGATTTTACAAATGTTAATATTACTGCAGAGCACTAAAGTATCGAGTCTGAATGTGAGCTGGAATAACAGTCTTGTATTCATCGTATCTACAAAAGGGTAATTCTGAGTGAGATCAGAGAAATATATTCTTGTTAGTAATATACTATTGATATTATTATAATTCTGTGCTGTAGTCCATCCAATGTAAAGTCAAATGTAAAATGTAAAGGCGACTCACATTAAATCACCAGAAAAAATGCAAAAATGAGCCTCTGTTGGTTAACAAATATTATTTATTAAAACTAAGCATTATAATAATAATAATAATAATAATCCTTGCATTTGATATAGCGCTTTTCATGTCGGGAGGACGTCCCAAAGCGCTTCACAGAACACACTGTAAAGTGAATTGACTGTATATTTGTGGGCGAACGCGGCAGCCAATTGCGCACAGCAATGTCCCACAAACAGTCGTAGATTGAAAATGACCAATTTATTATTGTTTTGTTTTGGAGGGATTATTATTAGGCGTGTGGAGTAAGGAAACTTGCCCAAGGTTTCGCCCTGCCTGGAATTGAACTCAGGTCTTTCGCTTGCAAAACAAGTGCTCTAACCACTGAGCTACAGGACTCCATTCTAGTATCATCCCATCATCCACATTAATGAAAACCTTCAACAACAAAATAGCAGCAAAATTACATTTGTTTAATGCCTTTCACATCGGGTGGACATCCCAAAGGGCTGGACAAGTTTGTGGGGATGGAGGGTGATCAAAGGCACTGTCAAAGAGGAGGGTCTTGAGATGGGTCTTGAAGGTGGCAAAGGAGAGGGCGAGGCGGAGGGACTGTGGGATGGAGTTCCAGAGGGTGGGGGTAGAGTGGCTGAAGGCCCACCTGCCAATGGTGGGGCGGGTGAGGCAGGGAACGCGAATAAGGTCAGAGCCCGCTGAGTGGAAGAAAGGGTCACGGAGCCTGGTGCGGGAAAGCACACAGACTGCAGAGTTCTGCATGATCTGCAGTCTTCGGAGGGAGGAGTTGGAGAGGCCGACAAGCAGTGAGTTTGCATAGTCAACCTGGATGTTATGAATACATGTATGAGGGTCTCGGCAGCCTGCGATGTGAGACAGTGGTATCTTGACAGTGTTCAAGACACCAAGGTTCTGGACTGGCTTAGTAAGGTGGAGTGTGCATCCTTGGATGGTGATGCTGTAGTGCTTGAGGTGTGGAGGTGCTGATGGGAGCCAATCAGGAGAGCCTTGGTCTTGTTGACATTCGACTGAAGAAAATTAGCTCTCATCCAGGACAGAGATTCTGTCAGGACAGCAGTGGTCTTGGAGTCAAGGGTGAAGGCAGAAAGATAGAGTTGGGTGTCATCCGCATATATGTGGAAGTTGACCCCATGTTTGCGGATGATGTCGCCAAGAGGGAGCATGTAGATATTGAAGAAGAGGGGACCAAGGACAGAGCCCTGAGGAACACCGCACAAGAGAGTGCGGGGTATAGAGGAGAAACTGTTTGTAATAATAATAATAATAATTGTGGAGATGAAGTGAAGATGGTGTGAGCGGCAGGATCTCAACCATTGAAGGACAGAACCATGAAGGTTCGAGGGCTGGAGGTTGGCATGGTCACACCATTTGATGCAAACCAATCAGTCTCTGATGGGTGGAAAAAGCATCAAAACTGCTGACAGACAGGTAAACATGTTTGGGGCACACAAAGCACCAATAAAGTAACCTGTACACTAAGTCTGCAGGAGCTGTACCATAGTAACCAATACTCAATGCAGTAAGGCGAGCTGGAAAGGATTATTGACTTATAGAATGTTTTGCACCAGGTAAGGCACTTTACAACTATGGAAATGCATGTGACGTCTTTGATGATGGATCTGTCCCCAACCATATTGATTTGTTCTTTTTTCATTGTGCTTTAGGGGAGAGGAGGAAAAGGATCTATTTTTGTGTGGGCATCTGGGAATGGTGGCCGTCATGGTGATAATTGTGACTGCGATGGCTACACAGACAGTATCTACACAGTCTCTATAAGCAGTGCCTCACAGCAGGGACTATCTCCATGGTACGCAGAAAAGTGTTCCTCAACCCTGGCAACAGCTTACAGCAGTGGGGACTACACTGACCAGAGGATTGTGAGTGTTTGTTCGCTGCTCATTAGTTTTGTTTTCATTACTTTGAAGGTGGAAATTGGTGCCTGGTCTGGCTGGCGAAGTACAGTAGTATACGATTTGTCACTGGTTTAACACCAGCCTAGGCTGCTGGGTTCAGAGCTTAATGCAGGATCCTGTCTTGGGCACTCCAAACCCAATTCCTCATGGCCACTGACCCACGGCTCAAAATGTTCAACAAATTGGCAATCTCACCCCTAATCTCTGGAGCACCCTCCCTCTACCACCCCACCCTGCCTCCTCTCTTTTTGTATTTAAGTCCCATCTCAAATCCTACCTCTTCGAATGAGTCTATAGCCACCTCCCCCTCCCACTCAGATCTTAAAATCTAGCTCTTCAAGCACCTGGGGGATGGCAGTGTGCTGGTGTTATTTAACTCATGATTGGTGTCAAGTGACAAAGCTCAGAGGTGGACCCTCAACACATTCTGACTTTACACTACAATGTGCTGTTGATATGAGTGCTGTACCACCAGGATACCCATGGTTGGAGGGACGTTTGCTTCTATTAGTGTGACATCAATGTACACTGTTTAATAATAATAATAATAATCCTTGCAATTAATATTGCACTTTTCACGTCGGGAGGACGTCCCAAAGCGCTTCACAGAACACACTGTAAAGTGAATTGACTGTATATTTGTGGGCGAGCGCGGCAGCCAATTGCGCACAGCAATATCCCACAAACAGTCGTAGATTGAAAATGACCAATTTATTATTGCTTTTGGTTTTGGAGGGATTATTATTAGGCTCTGTGTGGAGTAAGGAAACTTGCCCAAGATTTCGCCCTCTGCCTGGAATTGAACTCAGGTCTCTCGCTTGCAAAGCAAGTGCTCTAACCACTAAGCTACAGGATTCCACCCAGGAAGATGAGCTCTCTGCTTGGATCCATGCTATGTTCACCTCAGAGCATATTGTTGCAGGTTGTGAGTTGCAGATGCAAATCAATTTAGCTTCGGCTCAGAAATAGTCACTTGAAGGTTGTTCAGTAATCCAGTGACCACTTTAATGTTAAAGATCTGGTTGGTGTATCCATTTATTTAATAACATGAAAATAACTGACTTCAATTTCAGTAGTTGTAACCAGGCACAAAAGGTAAACAGGATTAAATGTTAATTTAACAGCTCCTCAACAATAACCATGCTTTCTCGTGGTAGATGGCCTTTCCCCTATCAGAGAAGCAAACAGAGTGCTATAGAGGTGGCCAAGGACCAGCAGTGGTGACATCTATGGTGGTGTCTCTGGATGAGGCAGGACAATAGTAGGAATCTGGGAGAAAGTGATGGAAAAATAAATAAGTTAAAAAAGTAATGTGTTGCTATTAGAGGCAATGGGAACTAATCTGTATTGTTCGAATAGTAACATAAATATCCCACATTGCTGGCAAGAGGACATGGGATTTAAAACGCGGCAAAATAAATAAACATGATAGCTTATTAAACATTTAAAGTATTATATTGATTAATAACCTATTGGTTTTCAATTTCTATGCCTGTTTGAAAGCATTTATTTCATAAGTGCACAAAATAAATTGACATAGGCATGGTGCATTGAATATTCAGTCCACCTTCTGTGCTGATGATGTCTATGTTTTTAAAATAATTATGATACTTAATAACTAGTAATATACACACCATATATATTAAAATTTTGGATATTGTAGTCCATTTCAATAAGGAATTGGATACATTTATGATAATAATCCTTGCATTGGTGTGGTGCCATATCACATCATAGCGCTTCACAAGATTTTACTATGAAGTGTAGTAACTGCATTTTGTAAGCAATCGTAGCAGCCGATGTGTGCACAGCAATATTCTACAAGAAGTGAATGACCAATTTTTATTTGGGGAAATTATTGATAATGATAGCAGTAGAAACTCCATGCTCTTTTTGAATAGTACCACTGGATCGTTAAAATACACATAAACAGAGAGGAACTCAGTTCAATATCTCAACTGAAAACGGCACCTCCGACAATGCAACACACCCTTAGTACTGCATTTGAGTGTCAGCCTAGATTGTGAGTTCAAAGTTTCGATGTGGGGCTTGAACCCACAACATTCTGACTCAGAGGGGAGAATGCCACCTACTGAGCCAAACTGTCACTTGACATTTTTGAATGCAAAGAGTATTGGTGGATATGGGAGAGAAGAAGAGATGGTGAGAGTTGAAAGCAGGACATTGCATATGAACAGTAGTGCTTTATCTTGCCCCTTCACATTCACGTCCCTTTGTAAATAAACACACAAGATAATTTAGGCTTATTTCACCAGAAACCAAGGCTACATAAAAATATTTTCTCTCTCGATTTTGTGGAAATGTGAATTGACCAGGAATGTAGTCCAGATTAATGGTCTGTCTTTACACAGCAGACCTCTGGTGCATAACAAGATTTTTTCATTTATTTTCATTTTCTAGACAAGCGCTGATCTTCACAATGACTGCACTGAAACCCACACCGGCACCTCAGCCTCAGCTCCACTGGCTGCAGGGATTATCGCTCTCTGTCTGGAACAAAAGTAAGTTGGTAACCAGAGTAGAATAGATCCTTTGAAATAAAAAAAATATATTAACTCTGGGATGTATCAAAGGTCACACTTAATACTTGAATTTGGTGTTATATTCTTATCCCTGTGAGATGTGCACAGCACTCTCGGTATCATAAGCCAATTCCAAGGCTTGTCCAACAAAAACACATGTGATGTTTACTCTCCTCTGTGGTATTAATCATACAAAATTGTAAAACTGATTTGAAGGTAATGTATTTAAAAAGTAGGTCGAACAAGGCATGTATTGTGAAATCTTTCAAAAAATAAATAGTGTGGTTTGGATTTGGGGTGACATGGTAGTCATTTGGAGAAAAAACATGTAGAGCTAAGAGGTCTCTAGTTCACTGACAATTTATTTTTAACACAAAAAAGCTACTTATTTTAAATCCATGAAACTGGAGAGAATAGTCTTCTGATTTATTTGTACAGATGTTGGCCATTTCTCCACAGCTCAGCGATCAGAATAGCTTTTAGCACTGGTCAATAGCTTTCAGCACTGTTCTGAAAGCCACATTTCATTATTGTGCAATTTACAAGTTGTGACGGAACAAAGACTATATGGATATGATTTCACACTCAACACGATTTACAATTGAGCTGGATTTATAAAACGTGTCAAATTGAGCCCTTAATTATAATCATGGCCAAATTTTGTTTGCAATTATTTACAGCATACAGATTCATTTGAATCTAATTTGACATGTGTCCTTTTTAGCCAACCTTAGAGTACCAGACCTAATAGAATACTCACTTTTTAACAGCATTAATGTAGTTGGGAAATGTAGTTGTTAACATATTAAAGCCAATGTGTTCAGTAAGATAAAATCTTATTATAGAAATGCTGAAATCACTGTTATCTTCTAACATTTAATGGGCTGGTATTAGAATCAAAGAATCATAGAATTATACATCACAGAAGGAGGCCATCCGGCCCATCGTGCCTGTGCCGGCACTTGAAAGAGCCATCCAAATTAATCCCGCTCCTCCGTTCTCTCCCCATAGCCTTGTAAGTTCGTCCTCCCAAATATCTATCCACTTCTCTCTTGAAAGTTGTTATCAACTCTGCTTCCACCACTCTTTCAGGCAATGCATTCCAGTTCCGAACAACTTGCTATGTGAAAACATTTTCCGTCATCTCCCCTCTGGTGCTTTTGACAATTATCTTAAATTATATTCTATATAAAATATAATGGGTATTAAAAAAAAACATGACTTTTACATCTAAATCATAGATTACTACATTCTTTATAATTCAATAACATGTCAAAACTTATATAGTAATAAATGCCATACTAAAGTGAAGGTTTCATGTTAAGCTTTACATATAAATACATTTTATTAATCATCTTTTAAAAACGTAAAATGTATAACGTTGGAACTGAACACAATCACAGACCTCACACTGGTAACTAGAAATTGAGAGAAGGTAAAAATAACAGTAATTTCTGCAGACATCTATCAACCACAGCCTCTAAACACTCTGTTTCTCTATTTATTTTGGTCAGCAGGGTATCTGACACATGCAGAAAGCCAACAGCATGCTTAAGAGTATCCAAACCAAACAGAGAATTCCATGCATCCCGCCTACACATGGAAATTCCAGAGATAAATTGTTGGAATCTCTATTTTTCAAATGCACCAATCTTTACATAAATAACTATCTTCCAAAAAGAAACAGTTATAAAAACAAAAGCAATCAAAATGAGCACTCTGCTGAATAGCTGATATCATGTAGAGAACATGGTCTCCCTATGTAGAGAGATAATATTGGATGATCAGCTCTCATTGAGCCAGTATTACACCACCAACAGACAGCTAAAGGTATATAATAATAATATTAATAATAATAATCCTTGCCTTTGTTATAGCGCTTTTCACGTCTTCTAGTATACATGTATACTTTTCCGTTTCCTGACCTCCATATATTTTCTCTGGTATATCTTGTCTCCCTGTTCCACTCCCATCATCTGTACCTCTCCAACAATTGACTCTGTGGCAGTACAAATCTGTTGTCCTGAAACTCCTGCAAATTCTCTTCTCTGGCTTAAGAATGTTCCTCTCCTCTCATAACCTCTATCCTCCCCTTTCTAATTTCCTATCACTCCTCTCCCTTTCACAGGAAGAGGTGGTGACCACGATATGGGGACATTACCAAGAAGCAAGACTGTCCTATGAGTTTTTGGTGTGTGACACCGGTTTATTTCTTGCAGACAGAATAGACCAGTTTTGGGAAGCTGAGATTGCTGGGCTCACTATCTCCCCAAAAATAAAAAAAATGCAAGCCTGTGTGTGAGGGAGAAAATCACAAATCAAGGAACCATAGAAATCTATTATAGAGGCCAATTCGACCCATTATATTTATGTTTGCTCCTGCAACAAAGCCATGAGCTTACACACATTTATCAAGGCACCTGTTTATTATTAATAATAGTAATATTTCTTGCATTTTGGTAAAGTGCCTTTCATATCAAAGCACTTGGCAGGATTTACTTTGAAGCAGAGTGTTTGTGCATTTGTAGGTGAACGTGGCAGTCCAATTGCACCCAACATGCCCCACAAACAGCGATTAAAAGAATTACTATTTTTTATTTGGGGGATTGTTGGTCAGGGCACTGGGAGAAACTCTTCACTTTTCACGTGGTGCCTTTAACATCCACCTGAATAGGCAGATGGGTCCTCGGTGTAACATTTCATCCGAAGCACCTTGTTTGAGGATAGGGAGAATTGTGATAGACATTGGTACGGAGAACTCAACAAGATCATGAGGGAGAGAGGACAGATGATTCGGAGAGACCACAAGATTTATTAATAAGGATTCAGAGTTGCTAATGTGGAATCCTGCTGTATGTTACAGTCAATCTGAGGGGGCCCTGCAATTTACATCTGGTCCTTCAGAGAGAGATCTAATGATTTTGCTGTGAGGCACAGGTAGCTACTGATAGGATTCCTTGTGAGGAATTCAGAATAGCTGTTGTGAATCCCATTGCGAGTTGTCACCTTTCAGTAGTGTGTTTTTGTTTTCTCAAAAGCCCAAATCTAACCTGGAGGGAGTTGCAACACTTGATTGTTTGGACCTCTGAATACGATCCACTGTGCAACAACGCAGGCTGGAAAAAGAATGGTGCTTCTCTGATGGTCAACAACAGATTCGGGTTTGGACTGCTAAATGCCAAGACACTGGTCGACATGGCAGATCCCAAAACCTGGAAGGGAGTGCCAGAAAAGAAGAAGTGCATTGTTAAAGATAATACCTTTGAATCCAGGTTAGGAATTCAATTAACTGTATCTATATCTTCTGAGGTTCTCTGTGCCATTTTTTTACAATTAGTGAATAGTAAATGATTTCTCAGGGCACTTGGCGCCAGAGGAGGATCCTTTCTTTCCTGAATGTAGTTTGCAAATTGCTCAGCCACTTGTACTTGCATAATAAAGCTGCAATAAGAAATTGTGAAAGATTTTCTGCTTAAATGGGTGAATATTGCTAAGATATGAGATTGGCATGGTTTGTGAGACCACTGGCTAAAATAGTGATTAATGCCTTACTAAACACCTCGCTGTGCATACAGCATTTAAGGAGCAGCAGATTGTGGCTCAGTCATTTCAAGAGAAGAAAAGTGCATATGCCTCTGGCTCCTTTATTGGTGTAACTGAATTGTCTTGCTCTAATTGTAGGCCACAGCGGCTTTAATTAATGCTGGAGGATGTGTCTGTTAGAGAATAAGTATCATTCTAATAATTTTCACAGAAAGGCTTCTCAGAGGCCTTGCCAAGCTAGCCATCTTAGTTATGACTGAACAGTCAGGAAATAAGTGTTTTTTAAGTATCAGGGATATGCCCTATAGTTGAAGTGTGGTGAACCATGTTCTATTTCAACAAGACTGTTTAAGGAATCAAAGACTTACATTATATCTTTAATTACTGTACGCTCAGGAACTAGTGGCACCAAGAGGAATGGAGCTATATAATAGGAAATGCAGTCACATGCTTATCACCCCGCTCCCTGTCAGCGACACAGCTACTGTTCAAATCTGTATTCATCACGAATACAGAAGTTTATTGCTTCTGTTTTTTGCGTACATGCTTTCATCACTTCTTATTGCTCGGAAATAATTGAAGAAATATTTTGCAATTACTGTGCAGTTTCTTTGTTATTAATCTGTCCGCATCCGTCATATATTCGGTTGGCAGCATTTCTGCAGTGACAAGCAGTTCAGGATCAAATTAAACTTCATTTAACCTCAGTTTTACATTTACTAAGAACCATATGCCATAGCTTTAGTTGTCTGTGGGCACATGAATTCTAATTTTATCAAACTGTAGGTTTGAGATTGGGTATTGAAGTTATTCAAGGCTGAGTAAAACAAGGTGCTTCACAATCAGTGTTTCGGACCCGAGTTGGGGGTCGGGATCAGGGAGGGTGGAGGGCAGTGGGGGAAAGGAGGGTGACCAAAGGCACGATCGAAGAGGAGGGTCTTGAGACAGGTCTTGAAGGAGGTAAGGGAGGATGCGAGGTGGAGCGACTGCAGGGTGGAGTTTCATAGGGTGGGGGCAGAGCCAGGAAATGAATGACCAATTTTATTTGAGGGATTATTGGCCAAGACAAATAGCATTAGTATTTGGAGAGAGGCTTGTTGTTCCTTTTTGATCAACATATAACAGTAAAACTAGTTTTCTATAAACTTGCAATTTTTCTTTATTGGGTTATCAGTGGCAAAAGGTAACTCGGGAGTGAGTTTTACAAAAAATTGAGTTTGCTCTCATCACCAGGCAAACATTGTAGCACTTCTCCAATGGTAGCAACCAGACACTAATAAACAGATAATGCTGAATGAGTAAAATCTGAAAGACTCAAGTTGGCTTCAGTTGGGCCATATCAGATAAATCAGGGGATAGAGCACCTTATCACTTCTTTGTCTCAAAAGACTTCACAGAATTTACTGTAAAGTGAATTGACTGTACATTTTGAGGACGAAACGCAGCAGCCAGATGCGTACAGCAGTGTCCCACAAACAGTCGTGGATTGTGCAACCAATTATTATTTTTTTTGATGGAATTTTTGGTAACAAAGTACAGTGGTTTCATTTTTTATTGGTATCTTTCTGTCAGCGGTGATATGATCAGGTTATCTTATCTCCACAGGAGCCTGAGCCCAATACCAAGCTCTTTCCCCATGGCAGTGAAATTACTAGCCATAAGCTCGGTTGAACCTGTTTTGCAATATTTACCTGTGATACAAATTGAAAAGTAACAATAATCTGGGGAGGGAGCTGATAGTTCACATACCACTGATATCAGCCCCACTCACCACAGAAAACCGACTGTACAAGCACTTGGGGGTGGGGGAGTGGAGGGGGATTCCATTCAGCATTGCATGCATTGGCTTTGGTGATGTCAGCCTTTAATGTGATTTCCCATATTAGTCACTCATCAGTAAATGCTCTGCGCATAATACTGAGTGGAATTTGTGCCCATTGATTATTTGACTGTCACCAAAAAATGGAAAATGATGAAATTGGCTTTGGATTATTTGCTGGGATTATTGCCATTTACCATCCACCGATGGAAACATTTTGCCTAATATGTTATAACTAATAGGAAACAGACCATTAATAATAAAGAAAGAATAGCTCCTGTATTTGAATGAATAAAAATGCTATAAACGTTTGGACTTAGAAGTTGGAGCCAGCTGATAATATCAGTCTAATCAGAAATCTAAATACAATCTAGTAAGAAATTATGGTGAAGTATTTTGAAGTTATTAGGGTTTTTTATGTACACAAGCTCAAAACCATAAAGTATTTCTGTTTTTGTAAATGTCTAACATTAACACCATGTTTGAGTAAAGCCAAATAATATCTTATTTATGCCAATAAATAGTTAGCATATGCAAAACTCCTTTTTGAACTTTGTGACAAGGATTTAAAGATGAAAGAGATGGCAGTGCTGATCCAGTTGTTGAATAGATGACTACCTTAACTGCACAGATCTGAGGCAAAGGACACGTTGTTAAATAAAATAAATTGCCATGAGGAATTGTTTTTTCCTTGTTCATTAACTTACATTAGATAATACATTTTGCCTTAAATCTCAGCCTCAGAACAGCCTTTAAAGCAAGTAAATCACCAGTACATCCTATGAATCATGGATTACATTTGTTTGTAGTTGTCTTATGCCAATTATGTCATATTTTTTGCAGAGTTCTGAAAGCTGGGGGAGAGATTATTATTGAAATCCCCACTAAAGCTTGTGAAGGGCAGAACAATCATATTATGGCTTTGGAACATGTCCAGCTGGAGGGAACCATTGAATATACCCGAAGAGGAGATCTTCATATCACTCTCACATCTCCTTCAGGTACATAATAATACTACTACTACTACTACTACTACTACTAATAATAATAATAATAATGCAGAGAAAGCACTTTTCTGGTGCTGTTCTCCAAGTGCCAGTGTAACCATTGTTTCTAGCATGTTTTTGTAAAATAGTTCATCATTCATCATTTGACTTTCTCATTCAATATTGGTCATTTTATATACAATTATATAAAAAGCAGTACTGCATGGGATATGTTGTCCAGAAATCTATTCTTGTTGTTGGCTGTAGACTGTATTTCAATGCTGCTTGATGGGATACTAGCTTAACTCAATGTATTAGGGCTACAGAGAGGGAATGTTACTCTGTATCTAGTGCTGACATATCTGACTTGGAACTTGCTTCACAAGGTTGCATGGTTGCATGGTTTGAGAATTAGAAATTGTTCTCCGTCTGATAGTTCTTGCTTTAGCCATATTCTCGTGTTGCAAGAGAATGACTGGAGTGATAAAATAATAATAATCCTTGCATCCTTGCACCATTGGAGTCCTGTAGCTCAGTGGTTAGAGCACTCACCTTTCAAATGAGAGACCTGGGTTTGATTCCCGGCAGAGCGAAACCTTGGGCAAGTTTCCTTACTCCACACGACTAATGATAATCCCTCAAGAAAAATCCTCCAAAAAACAATAATAAATTGTTCACTTCAATCCATGACTGTTTATGGGACACTGCTGTGCGCAATTGGCTGCCACGTTTTACCCACAAATATACAGTCGTTTCACTTTACAGTTTATTCTGTGAAGCGCTTTGAGACGTCTAGAATGCGTGAAAAGCGCTATATCAAATGCAAGGATTATTATTATATATGATATTATTATTTACGTTGGAAGCATGACTCAAAGCACTTCACCGGATATACTGTAAAGTATAGTGACTGTATTTGCAGGTGATCAATGTAACTCTGCTTTCATCCTTGTTCTTGAATCCAGGAACCAGCACTGTGCTCTTGGCTGAACGTGAAAGGGATTCCTCGCCCAATGGCTTTAAAAACTGGGCCTTTATGTCAGTGCACACGTGGGGAGAGGATCCAGCTGGCACATGGGTTCTGAGGATTACCGATATGGTAAGTGTGGTTGTGGATTGCTGGATTGTTCAACACTGTAGAATTTAGTTTATTTTAATGAAACATCATTATCCTCTGTGGTTAGAATTTCCCCACAATGTTTTCTGCAAATTTTCTGATAAACCTACAGTCACAAAGGAATACCTTTCTGAGAATATTAGATTGCAGAGACTAAGAGGCAGTTCACAAAACAAGAAGAAACCTTAGAATGTATCAACAGAGAGATTGTGTTACATAAAGTAAGTGACCAAGAAGTGAGCCAAAGGTTGTAATCTGATCACATTGTGATCTCCACACAATACTTTTTCTACGTTGCCAAGACTTCTTAATATGATCTGAATTTCCACCAGTTAATTTATAGCCTGCAATTCCTTGCATCCATTATGTTGTATAATATGGTGTCCTGTGGCTCATTGGTTAGAGCACTCGCCTCGCAAGCTTGGTTTGATTCCAGGCAGAGTGAAACGCTGGGCAAGTTTTCTCACTCCACAAGCCTCTATTTACCTCAAATAAAAATAATAGTAATAAATTGGTCACTCAATCCACGACTGTTTGTGGGACACTACTGTGTGCATTTGGCTGCCGCATTTCACCCACAAAATATGCAGTCAATTCAATTTACAGTATATTCTGTGAAGAGCTTTGAGACATTTTGAAGACGTGATAAGGTGCTATATCAAATGCAAGGATTATTATTATTCTCTAGCTGTTCATCACAAGACCAATGCAAAACAAAAGTGCAGCTTCTCATATATAGAAGGTTAGATCAGATGACAAAAGGAAAGCTCAAATAAAAAGGAAAGAGAAAAATGGAGAAGAAGATTTGGATAGCTATTTGGCAGATAAATTGCTTGAGATTTGTGAGATAGAGTAGCATGTGATTTAGTGTGTACTTTGGGTCCAGCCAGATGATATTTTCCAATTGTATACATCGCTAGGTAAGAATACAAGAGAAGTAGGGGGAATGCATTGCAAACATTAATACTGAAAAAGTTGTACATACCAAATAATGAGAGAATTTTACTTCAGTTTCCAAGCTGAATTCCAGGAACTGATCCTGCTTGAACATTCTATTTCAAACATCACTTTCAGCTTTTACCATGTTAGTAATCTTATTTTGTTGCAGTTCAGTGTGATACTTCTGTGGAAGGAAATGCTAATTTCGAGTAATTGGGATTTCTTATTAAGCAATGCAGTTAAGAAATACTGCCAATTAGATACTCATCTCCCAGTACCCGGGGGCTTCCAGTCAGCTCTATTAAGTGCTTTGAGACATCCCCTGACCTGAAAGGCACCATATCATGTCAAATTGTTGTTGCTCTTGATATTTTATGATTCAGATGATAAAATCTATAACTTTTTGGGGGGTGATAGGATTGATCGAGGCTGGACTGCATTTCACAGAAAGACTCCAGGAAAGGCATTCATTAAATTTAATCCCAGTTCCTACCAAGTCCATAAATAAAAAATTAAGTTGAAACACAATCCTCCTTAGACTGCCAGCTGACCAGCCCAGACTCCTGCCTCTCTGAGTAGATCAGTTCATTACATTTCAGGTCACACATTGTGACACTGGCGTAATATTACTTACATCAGGACAGCTTTAATTCTGCAACGTTGACACTAAATTATTTAAATAAATATAACATCCAAATTTTAAATAAAAATGTCAGAAAAGTTAGCTTTTCTACATGTCTTTCATATTCTCTCTCCAATTTTTGTGTAAACTTTACTTTGAATTATTGTTTTCCTAGTTAACGTGATTTCTACCTATTCTAACCTTTTTTCCCTATTTGCAACTTTTCATGTGTTTCCTATTACCTTCGTGCAGCTGTTTATTTTGAAAGGTAGGAGCAAAGTCATTCAAGTGTTGCTTGTTGGCCAAAAAAATCACTTGAAAGATGAATGAAAGATGAAAGATTGATATAGTTAGGATATTGACCAGGTCAATTTCTGACGTAGTTTATTTTTGTGTTTACATGGGGAGCTTACTGGCACTACTACAGTGGTTTTATGAACTGGTAAACTTGTCAGTGGATCTGAGATCTGGCAGCACTTGAATGAGTGAATTTATCCACAGCATTCCAAAAGATAAATGCCTTTCACAACAACAATTCATATTTATAGTGTAAAGCACCTTTCAAGTTGGGACGATGTCTCTAATCACTTCACTGGGAGCTCAAACTTTCTCTGAAAATAAGTTACAAAGAGTTAAACAGAGTCATACAAAATCCGGTCATTTTGCCCAAATAGTCCATGCTGGTGTTTTTACTCCATATGAGCCTTCATCCCTCCTATTCCCCTCTCCTTACACCTCTATTCCCTTCTCTCTAATGTATACATTTTCTTTTAAATACATCGATGAGGATTATAATGGCCAAAGTCATCCCAAAATAACAACAACAACAAATTGTATTTACAGAGCACCTTTCACATTGGGAGAATGTCCCAATACGCTGGACAATGAGGGGTTTGCACCCGAGCTGCAGGCTGGGATCAGGGAGGGATGGAAGGCAAGTGGGGTAGAGGAGGGAAGATGACCAAAGGCATGGTTGAAAAGGAAGGTCTGAGATGGGCCTTGAAGGAGGCAAGGGAGGAGGTCAGGTGGAGGTGTTCTGAGATGGAGTTCCAGGAGGTGGGGGCAAAAAGGCTGAAGTACTGATCCAGATAGTGAACCAGGCAGGGTGGGGATCATGAAGCAGGTCAGTGCCTGCAGAGTGGAGGGAGCGGACAGGTTAGTGAAGTAAAATACAGGACAAACATTTGTGAACAAATAATAAAAGTTGAAATACAAATATACATTACCTTTATTCTGCATCTGAGAATCATAGAATTATACAGCACAGAAAGAGGCCATTCGGCCCATTGTGTCTGTGCCGGCACAGAATCTACAGCTACGATGGAGAAAATGCATTCTTCTGCGTTTCCCTAGAGCCTGCTTTAAACGTTCTACTTTTTCTGTGAAGCAAGATTTTTATAGCGATTGAGCTGTGCATTAATTGAAGGGCCATGTCACATCAGGGAATTTTCAAACAACTTCAGTTCTTAGAAAAAACATGAACCTCCTGTTTTAAAGTTCAAACACTGCCATCAGGGAATAGTTTGTATGGCAGCCGATGTTAATAGCTGTTGCTGAGCGAGCTCTTGAATATTTGGTGTCCAGAGTTTACTTTTGCATTTTCATTTAACTTTTTAATGAAACTATAATTTTAAACAGAAAGCATGTACCCACAGGCATTTTAATCATGCCTTTGACCTGCACATTTCAGCATAAAGTAGCTCAGCTGGGAGGACTTTTGCATTTGAGTCAGAAAGTTGCGGGTTCAAGCCCCACTTTGGGACTTGGAATTCATTGTATTGGCTGATACTCCAGTGCAGTGCTGATTATCGGAGGTACTGTCCTGCAAATGAGATATTAAACTGAGGCTCTTTGCCTGTTTAGGTGGACATTAAAGATCCCATGGCACAATTTGAAAAGAGAAAGTAGGTTTAACCTGGTGTCGTGGCCATCAATCCCACATATAATATTGTTCATTCACTTCATGACTGTTTGTGGAACACTGCTGTATGCAAATTGGCTGTCGCTCCTGTTTACAAACACTAAATTGTTTCAGTGAATCTTGGGAAGCGCTTTCAGTTGGGTTGACAATGTAATAAGACTCTTAAATAAGAAATGTAAATGAGAACTCCTCCAGATTAATGAAAGTGTGTGGCACACTCCACACCTTGAGGGACCCCCACTCCAAAAATAATTAGGACAACATTCCCCGTGAGTCAGAATCAAGAATTCCCACAAAATTGATGCCAAAATACAGGGAACCCCATAATAGAACCTTTCAATATAGCACTCATTTATAGTGTAGGTCTACTGTGGATCCATCTAATTGAAAGGGTGGCATTCCTGACTTCTGACACTTAACCTAAAAAGCTTCCCGCGATAAAAAATTGTCTGACTTCAGGGTTGTCAGGTCACTGTTGCCATCACTCCTTGTGCATAGTATGCCTGCGTGCAATTAATAGGATGTGACTTTAGCTGTGACCTGGCAACCCGGGAGTCAACCATTGTTTTGGGCTTCACTTAAATTGTGGCCTTTGTGCCAAGTTACCATACTACTAGGATGTTTTTTTGTAATATTAAGCAAGGGCATTCTAGTAGGGAAAACCTTTTGAATTCAGGCTAGTAAGAGTACATTATTAATAGGAAATTAAATATAAATCTAATATAATAAGTATCTGCTTGGGGAGTGGGGGTGCGATGGGAGCAGATGAAAAAAGGCCTTTGATTAACTGAATGACTCATTGCATTTGTGGAATTGCAGTCGTTAATTAATTGGACTGATAGGAAGTTACAGCATCTTTTACGCACGATGACGACTCAGCTTCATATATTTCCCAGAGCTGGACTTCAGTGCTGATGATTTAATAAGCGGATCAACAGTCACAGCACACTGCACTGGAAGGGTTTCATTAAAACAAGTCCTAAAACAAAACAGGAAAGTATTTTCATTAAATGTAATGGAAGACATTCTTTAGTTATCAAGCATATGTTCATAAGCATAGGATTGATTAGTTATTTCTCCTTCTACAATGTAGGAGAGAGCTAGGGGTGAAAATCGAGACTTGTGATTTGATCATTATCACTAATGCTAAATACTGCTGAATGGTTCACCATGTGTCAGCTTGGCTGAGTTGGTCGCCCTTTCATCTCTGAGTCGGAAGGTTGCGGGCTCAAGCTCCATGCCGCCACTTTGAACTCACATAGTACAGGCTGACATTCACTGTTTTCTTACAGGTACCGTTCTTTAGATGAGATGTTAAACGGAGGTCCAGTTTGCCTTGATGTTAAAGACCCTGTGCCACTATTTGAACAGAGAAGGGAGTTTCTCCCCGTGTCCTGGCTAACAATACCCCAGATAAAGTTGGTCATTCCCTTCATGGTTATTTGTGCACACATTGGCTACCATGTTTGCCTACAAATACACAGTCACTCTGCTTTATAGCAAAATTCTGTGACTCTCTGTGAGATGTCCTCCCAATATGAATAGTATTATATCAAATACAAGAAGTACTTATTATTTTGTTATTGCTGCTCATAATTATCACATGGACAAAAATATAATCAAAAGCAGTCAATAGTTATCAGTGGCTGAGAAGTTGACCCTCCCCCACCACCCCGACTTCACACAGTGGTTGGAGAGGAGAGAAAAAATGTGACAGAAATGATGAAGATTTAAGTACTACAGTAATCATATGAATTAGGTAGGATAGGTAGGAAAATGTAGAATTTTCTCAATTTAAATATCTTTCTGGAGATTTGACAAAGCATATGACGTTAAATATTGTTTGATGTATCATTTTAACTGTAACTTGGGTAAAATCTCATCTAGGTCTGTTTCCTGCCTCTAAATGAATCATGCGCATACAGATGATTGCCTTGAAATGAGCTGTTACATTTGCAGTTGTAATCGGTTCTGTGGTGCGCTTGCTTCTGAGAAAGAGAGTTGTAAGCTCCGCTCAGTGGTTAAAACCTTTTCTGGGTCAAATGGAAAACGAAACAGATTTCACAATATCGGGTGATTTGGTTGCAGCTTGTCACTATAAACATTGCAATAACCAAATCCCATCTTCTTTATTCATTGTGTAATAAACACAGACTCCTGCCAGGAGATACTGTGTTCTACAAATTGGGTTTGCAGGATAAATTAGCCTGGCTGCTGCCAGCCTGCCTGCCTCCCGCCTCCTTGGCTCTGTGTCAGCTGCCCCTCACGTATCTTTAGTGGAACCTGTCTTCTTGCTGCTTTTTGTAGGAGCTACAAGTGTAGCCAAGTGATGAATTCTTTTCTCAATCCACCTTTAATATCCACCTCCCTCATTGGGGAAGAAGCCCACAGAATCATTGTAATAATAAATAATTATCCTTGCATTTGGTATAGTGCCTTTCACATCAGGAGAATGTCCCAAAGCGCTTCAAAAGATTTACTTTGAACCAATTTTATTTGAGGGATTGTTGACCAGAACACCAGGAGAAACTCCCTTCTCTTTTTGAATAGCATCATGAGATCTTTAATATCCACCTGAACGGGCAGACGGGACCTTGGTTTAATATCACATCTGAAGAACAGCACCTCCAATAATGCAACGCACCCCATCACTGCACTGGAGTGTCAGCCTAGGCTGTGAGCTCAAGTCCAAACTTAGGGCTTGAACGCATAATCTTCTAAGGCAAGAGGCAAGAGTGCTACTCTTATTATTATTATTATTATTATTACCATGCTACCACTGAGCCATATTGACACACATGGCTAACATCATGGCTGTCTTAAGTAAAACAGGGGCATTCCTGTAAGATACCAGAAGCTTCATGTCTAGGTGGGATGCATGGAACTCTCAGTTTGGTTTGGATACTCCTAAGCATGGGGATGGGTTTCTGTATCTGTCAGATACCCGGCTGACCAAAACAAATCGTATGGCAGAATGCATTATGTTCAATCTCACTTGATGATACTTCATTCTGTTGAGCCATTTCACGAAACATGGCCCTCAGTTCCTAATTCATCTCATTCAGAAATGGTGAGCAGAATTTCTTTGATGATTCAGCAAATTTATCCAGTTACTGACTAAGTCTTACAGGCCCCAGGTTCAATCTCCAGACGGCTTTGAGTTAACTCATCTGATTTCAGTCAGCAGTAGAGCACTGCAATTGGCCTCAGTGCTTTAGGTTAGAGCGAGAAAAAAATAACCAGGATCTCTGTTCCTGATCGCTATCCACTATATGGTGATATGTGACATCCTGCCCCCTCCCTCCTTCCCTCCTCCCCAGCACAGCCAAATAGCCTAATCACATTCACTGCCAAAGCCCAAATTTATGCACTTACACTCGTGGTTCCATTGTAGTATAAATGTACATTGCTCCTCATGAAAATTGTTGTGTCCTCCTGTGTGTAGTGGATCAGCCTTGCTCTTAATTGTCAGATATAAAATGTAATAAATTGTTTTGTTTGGCTTTATACCTAAGTCTGGAAGAAAGCAAAATAAAGGGAAAATTATTGATTGGAAGCTGATTTTGCATGGTACCTCCACCAAGCCTGAACACATGAGGACACCAAGAGTGTATAGACCTTACAACGCTGTCCAGAATGACAGGAGAGGTGTGGAGACGAAGGAAGACAAAATAGAGGTACAGCATTGCTCTCAGCCTTTTAAGGGAAAAAAGTCTAACCTTGTTGGCTGTACATTTGGAAGCAAATGATGCAGTGAGAAAGGGTGATTAGTGAAGGTTTTAATATCAAGTCATGTTACCTGTTTTAAATATTTTTAAATAACAATTCCTTGCATTTGATATAGCACCTTACATAATGGAAGGACACCTTGAAGCGTTTCACAGGATTTACTTAAAAGTGTTGTGGCTATGTATTAACTAAACTGTGATCGCATGTCCGTGTCATTTCGGGGTAAAAATACCTGAGTAGATGTTCAAACAATCACACCAGTGAATCCCATTTCTTTCTGCACCTCTCAGTGTTTGCACTGATGCAGGATCTGTGTGAATGAGTCGAATTTTTGAGGTTCTGACACAAGTCAAATTATTATTTTTGTTTTTGTGTGTTTACAAGTAAAGAAGTTGATTTTTTTTGTGGTGGTGCATCTGTGATTTTGTGTAAAGTGAATGAATTTCGACAACAGAAAATCTTGGCAAATAATTTAATTTATGTTTTCATTATTGAATCATTTATTTTATTCAGACAGTCATAGTCAGTAATACAATTTAACAAATGTGGAATGATCCTATGAAATTCATGTTACTTGGAGAAATTATCTGCTGACCAGATAACACTGTTTTCTCAATAAGAACAGATTAGAACCAGAGAAATAATTAACTTTGTCATCTAACTCCACTCAGTAAATGTTCCCTGCCTCGCCTACACCTCCATTGGCTGGCGGGCCTTCAGCCACTCTGCTCCCAATCTCTGGAACTCCATCCCGCAGTCCCTCCACCTTGCCCCAACTCAAGACCCTCCTCTTCGACTGTGCCTTTGATCCCCCCCCTGCCCTCCACCCTGCCCAATTTCGACCCCTAGATCAGGTCCGAAACACTGATTGTCCAGAGCCTTGGGACCTTCCCCCGATGTGAAAGGCGCTATACAAATGTAATTTTGTTGTTGTTGTTACTGTTTGCAGAAAGATGCTCCCGAGGACAGTAAGCCTGCAAATCCTGACACACAAGGGGATGTCAGTGAAGACAATAAAAGCACAGAAAATACCCAGGAGAAAGCTGTTCTTCGTCTTCTACAGAAAACATTGGACCAACAAAGTAATCACAATAACCTTCAGCAACTTCTTCACAGCAGAGTACCCTATGAAAAGTTGAATGTATCAATTCAGAGTCTTCATAGTGCCGAAAAATTAAACAAATACTCCCAGTTGAAAGACTTGGAGAACAGTCTATATAGTGAATATAATGACCAGATTTATGGCACCAAACCTTACAAGCATAGAGATGATAGATTGCTTCAAGCTTTGTTAGATATGCTGGAAGAAAGTCAATAATTATTAGTATGTAGGCAAAATTTTGTGTTAATAAGTAGAGAGGTTGATTGTTTTTGTCTCTGTGCCTCTGTGATTTTGTGCAAAGAAGTAAACAAATTTGACAGCAGACAATCTTGGCAAAGAACTTAAATTGTATTTTCATTATTTATTTAAAGACTATGACTTCAGAAGACCCACTGAATATTGTTGATTAATTAGAGCCTGCTTTGTCTTTGAGGAGGAAAATAGATAGAACATTTAATAATGTCTCTTTCAGGCTCTCTGCAAAAAACATTGCACAGGTTGACCCAATTATAGGGTGGTCATCTGGGTCTAATATCTCAGATGCTCTATTAAAAGAGAACAAGAAAAAGTGGCTGATTTCTGACTCGTCTGGTCACCACCGCTACCTGTGTGTTGTGTTCCTTCATGAAGTGCCATCCATGCCACTTCCTTCCCTTTGCATACATGCGCACTGCGCAGACTGAGACGTTAGCAGCATCTCCTGCTTAGTGCCCTGGAAACGATGTTGACGGTGACCAGACCACCTGAAAGTCGGCCATTTTGTAATGTGGGAAGTCATTTGGTCTGCACCGGAATCTGGCAATGTATTGCACTCCAGGTAACTATGAGTCCACGAGGCAAATGCATTAATAGTGAACCCAAGCCTAGTAAGATACTTAATAACAGGATTGCCCTGTATCAGGACAATTGGATACTGTTCTCTAAAGATAAAGAGTAAAATATATTCAAATAGATTCCAGAGTCCATGACTTTTTCTGATAAGATTACAAACTTCCCAGGATTTGTCACTAGGAAGTTATTAAATCTCAAAACCCTCCTCTTCGACTGCGCCTTTGGTTACCCTCCCTGCCATCCACCCTCCCCGATCCCGACCCCCAGCTCGGGTCAAAATCCCTGATTGTCCTGCGCTTTGGGATGTTCTGCCAACGTGAAAGACGCTATACAAATGTAATTTTGTATTGTATTGTATTAAGTAATGTGTATGTATCTATCTATCTTGAAGGTAAAAAGCTGTCATTTTGCAAATCAGTCATTATTTTTACTATTGCGAGCACATCATCTAATGCTGGTTAGCTAACATTGCTTTGGTATCTAATTTGCACTATTTCTTAACGGGATTCCTTAATAAGAAATTCCATTATAATTCTCACTGACCTGCGAGAACTCTGCTCCAGAGTTAGATTGCAGTCAGTGGAAACAGTCTTCATTTGCGTGAATCCCCATATTTCCTCATTAAGAAACCCCATAAAGAATTATTACAGTTTAGGTCACCGTTTTTGTGAGGGGAAGACTTCCCAACTCTTCTCTCCACAAGTTACAGATTATCCAGAACTCTGCAGCTCGTGGCCTTTCCCATACCAAGCTCCAGAAGCCCCCTCATCCCCCTCCTCGCCAGCTTCATTGACTCCCCATCCCCCCCGAGACTCGAGTTTAAGATCCTCGTCTTCACTTTCAAAGCCCTCCACGATCTTGCTTCTCCCTACCTCTGTGACCTTTTTACACCATACCAAGTTCAGCGGGCACTTGGCTGCTCCATGTCTCTCACTTTTCGCCCCACCATTGCTGGCTGTGCCTTCAGCCTTTCCGGCCCCAACCTCTGGAACTCCATACCGGAATTTCTTTGACTGGCTTTTGACCAGCTATCTGTAAAGTTTAAGTCTCTTATCCACCTGTCACAGTTGGGATGAGGTTCAGCTGTACTCAGCTGGTTAATAATAATAATAATCCTTGCATTTGATATAGCGCTTTTCACGTCTTCTAGACGTCTCAAAGCGCTTCACAGAATATGGTGTTAAGTGAATTGACCGTATATTTGTGGGTGAAACGCGGCAGCCAATTGCGCACAGCAGTGTCCCACAAACGGTCGTGGATTGAAAATGACCAATTTATTAATGTTTTGTTTTGGAGGGATTATTATTAGGTGTGTGGAGTAAGGAAACTTGCCCAAGGTTTCACCCTGCCTGGAATTGAACCCAGGTGTCTTGCTCTAACCACTGAGCTACAGAACTCCATGTTCAAGAAGCACATTGGGACTTGAGTTTATAGTCTGTATTAACACTCTATTGTTGGAGATGTTGTATTTTGAACTGAACAAAGAACACCTCAATGTTATAAAGCATTTTATATCAGTGAAGGGGAAATCCTTGCTCCTTTTGCTGTATTTCATCTTCCATCAATGCATGCTCGTGGATGGAAAAATGTTGACAACTTGGTTAAACTACGTCATTCAACCTAAAACAGGTTACAACTCTGGTCCACGCCTTTATCACCTCAAGGTTGGACTATGGGAACTCTCTCCTCGCCGGCCTTCCCGGCACCTCCCTCCACAAGCTGAAGGTCATTCAGAACTCTGCAGCTCGTGTACTGTCCCGCACCAGGCTTCGTGACCACATCACTCCCACCCTCGCTCGCCTCCACTGGCTCCCCATCCCCCAGAGGATCGAATTCAAGATCCTCATCCTCACCTACAAGGCCATTCACGGCCTTGCTCCCTCCTACCTCTTCGACCTACTATCCCCCTACTTATCTGCCCATACCCTCCGTTCCTCTGGCTCCGGTCTGCTCCACATCCCCCGCCCCAACCGCCCGACCATCGGTGGCCGGGCCTTCAGCCTCTCAGCCCCGAGGCTCTGGAACTCTATCCCCCAGTGCCTTCGCCGCCTCCTCCCTTTCCTCCTTCAAGGCCGGTCTCAAGACCTTTCTCTTTGACCATGCCTTCAGCTCCCCTCTCGACTCTCTACCCCCTCCTCGCTCCCTCCCTTCCCTCCCCTCACCCTGACCATTTCCCCCCTGTTCGGGTCCTGACCCAACTGTCCAACGCCTTGGGACGTCCTCCTGACGTGAAAGGTGCTCTATAAATGGAATCTTGTTGTTGTGCAAAAGAAATCATGGGTGGAGAAAAGGATTAAGAAAAACAAGGGGTAAAAATGTTTTTGGTGTTATGCATAGCATCTTTGGCAATACATGACTATAATGGAGAAATCCCATTTGTGGTTGACACATTGATGGTAGAGAATTGACTTTTACCTAATGCTGTGGATAACAGAATAACTCAATAGCAGTTCGATCATTATTCAGTTATGACATCGTTCACATCTTTGGATAAAAGTGGTCTTTTAACTATTATATGTGACTTTCTATTTATACAAGTGATTTTTAATATTAAACTTCCAATTAATTGGTGAATGAATTGTAGAATGAATTGGAATACTTTTTTTGTACTACTGGATCCTTGGGTCCAATTCAGTCCAGACTGATGGGAAAACATTTTTTGGCTCTCTTTTCTAAAGGACAAGTTTGCAAGGCTATGGGGAGAGAGCGGGGGAGTGGGATTGAATTGGATAGCTCCAGATGTAGTTGCAGTCAGTGGAAAGAGTCTTCATTTATATCGCACAGACACCATGGGCCAAATGGCCTCCTGTGCTGTATAATTCTATGATTTGTGATTCTATGATAATAACATAGATTTGTGTGTCTCGATTTATCTGTGTTTCACCAGCAGAAGTCTAGTCATAATGGGATATAACATCCAATATCTGAAAAGAGAAGGGAGTTTCTCCCAGTGTCAAAGCCAACAGTCCCCCATATAAAATGTATCATTCACTTCATGGCTCTTTGTAGGACATTGCTGTGTGCCAAACTGTGAACTGCTCAGGGATTTGCTTCCAACATGAAAGGGACTATATCAAATCCAAGGATTATTAATTTTTAGTTCTCACAAGATTCTTTAATAAGGAAACCAGAAGTATATCATGCTAACTTGTGGGAACTGAGACAGCCTGACATGCTTTTAAAGACATATACCTCACAAAAACTAATGCCATGCCAATCAGTAGTGACATTTCCAGCACATACTTTCAATACATTAGTAATTCCTGAACTGTCAACACATATTTTCCGCTTGTCAGTATATTAATTGAATTTGGCAGTGACAGTTTCTACCTGGAAAATTGCACCATTAGTGAATTCTACCAAGTTCAATTAATTCCCAGAGAAGGAAATAATACTCTGAAACTATTGATACAAGTAGGTCTTGCAAAATTGTGGTATGAAGCAAGCAGGGAATATCCTGGTAGTTTTTGTTATTATAGCTGACGTTATAACAATATGAATATTTTTAATCATGATGTTATAAAACAGGATATCATTTACAATTCAGAATATATATCAGAAGACGGGATTAAAGTATTAGATGTTTAGCAACAGAGAGGTGTGGAGGAGATGCAGAATCATAGATCTTAAGTAAGAATCAATCAGTTCCTTTTAATGTGAGGTTGTTTTTATGTGAGTTTGCATATTGACTTCTGATATACACTGTGTGTTGCAAATATTTCATGTGCGTTGTTGCATTAGGTGGTGCTGTTAAGGGTTTCAAATAGGAACAAGTTCCTAGAAATTAATTCAGGGTTCTTGGATAATGTGGTAATTGTGTCAAAAGAAACCTTTGGGATGTTGGATGTGCAGGACAGGCAGACTAATGCTCTACACTTGCCTAAAACTGCTATTATTTATTCTATGGTAATGTGTGTTATCATAAACATCTATTGTGTCACTGTAAACTTCTGCAGAACTAATGGAGTAATGTAACTTTAATCAGTACTGTTTCCACCCACTTCATAAAATAGAATTTAAAATTGATATAGTCCAAATTTGCAAATCTGACAAACAGAATCTGAGGCACTGTAAATTACGTGGGTTATAATGTCTTCCTCATTCATTGAATAAACAGCACACCACTGTTCCCTGTTTGTCTTATTTATCCAATCTGACTCCCATGGAGATACATCAACCAGTGAAAGTATAATTTACAGCCAAATAATGAACTCATCAGTAGATAGTATTCTTACAGAAAGAGTTCCAATAGCACTATATCACATTGCTGCCCCTCCAACATTCTTCTCAAGCTGTTTTCTGAGAGGCACATTGACAATCTCAGTGCATAATACTGTAGAATGAAATGTATTCACATTATCCCTTGTTTGATGTACTAGTCAACACATCTCCCAATTCTTCTTGGAGACCTATTGAGCCATCTCTGTTGAAACCAAACAATGTGTAAGTACTTGCTAACCACAATGAGGCTTCCAGTTGCTTTGCAAAAAGCCCAAATGGATATTTCACCTCTAATACACCACAACCTGCAGATTTTGACAGCAGGCCATTTTCTTACCATGATGGTGACAGGACAAAATAATGAAAATAACACAGATGTCCTTTTAATTAAGAAAGCTATTTCCTTTCAATTCATTGAGTGAGTTTTGTTAAATATTCCACCTGGTGATCCTAACACCACTGCGTCAGCAATTCAGTTGATCACTGCCAACTGTCATCTTTGTTTTGACCAGGATAATAATAATAATAATAATAATAATAATCCTTGCATTTGAT